TTGGTTTCTCGCAATATCTTAACTTCTCAACAATATCTTCATTACCGAAAATCTAATTGCTCTGGGAATTTTCAGTATTGATTTCCTAAGAATAACCCTTCCTACTAGCACAGGTGTCGTCTTCAAAGTTTACACTGCTTACTTTCCTCCATCACAAAAGTAAAATAAATTCTTTGGGTGGAGGTGAAAGTCAAATTCTCCAATTTACTTTCTTGGTGAATTTCTTAAAATGGAAAAGACCGCAAAGACCGATAGTTTTGTAACAACAATTTTTATGAACGGTGCACTTGAAAAAAAAAATTTGACGTAATCACTTGATCGTAGAATCGCGTCGCATTACAATCGGAAGTATTCCAACTTCGATTAATGAACCTTGACAGGTAGTCTCTGTCATTAGTAGCGTTCGATTGTTCCTATTATTTCGATCTTCACTGTTTATTCAATGCACTACAACATGTTGCAACTGTTTCCATCAATGGAGTTTTTATCAGCTTCCCGAATGTTTCAGCAGCAACGAACCGTTCCCTTTGATTTCATCTTCCTTGGGTGGTTTCTGCTTTAAAGATAATATTTGCTTTTTAGCGCTTCTTCCTTTCGAAATATTTTTAAAATAGGGCTTTTCTGAATCGTTCTTTTTGTGTGCCGGCACCACTGGAGACATGAATGGTGAATAATGAACAGAGAAAAACAAGCCCAATTTAACCAAAGCGTCAGTGAATGGACAGAGAAAAGTTGTTTGTGTTTGTTTTCACACGTTACACATCGACCTATGCATGTGTTGTTCATGATATGGGAAAAAATGACAAAAGAACCGAAGAATGGCTCATTCTTTACTTCTAAGAATTCCTACGATACAAAATTCATGGTTTGATACTAACAAACCGCGTGTAAGCATTAAATCTCCAAAAAGGTGTTGACAGAAAGCGCTAGGTTAAGAGGTGAATTAAATAGCTTTTTTCTGTCGTTGACAACTCTTGGAATAAAAGTCAGATGTTTTGGTTTTTAATGTAGAATTAATGCCTTGGTCAAAACATTAAAGCACTGTTTTTAATGTTTCTGTGGTTTTACGGCAAAACGGAGTTAACAATCGACTCTTTTATGCAGGTATTTTAAATGAATTGATCAATTCCTGTTCGCAAGGTGTTCTCAGTATTATGTAACAACAAGAAACACTTTCTTAAAACAAGGGCCCTAAAAGAGATTACTGCTGTTTAGTAATTTGCAATCAAAAAAAGAAGATTTTTGATACAGTTTAGCTAGAAAAAAGAAGAGGTGCTTTCTCTAAGCGCAATTTTCAACTTAAAAACCAAAATTTCTCGTATATCAGGTTTTAACAATAACAGGAAGTAATAACATTTATGTCTTCATAAATTTCTCCGTTGAAATACTTATATTTTGATGCAGGTTGATAATTCTTATTTAAATTTCAAAATGAGCCGAATCAGAGAAACACCTACTTGATTATAAACTGGGAACTGATAAAAGTAGATAAATATCTGTATCGAATTATGGCAATCTGACAATCGGAGCTCTACCTCTCCATAATTTTCCTCCAGAGAGGTTCATTACGGTACCTCTATCATTCATGATCAAATGGGTATTTTTCTTGCCCTTCAACACGGTAGCGGTAAATTTTATTGAGAGACTAGTAACAACTCCTTACTTCAGAGAAAGTCCCGCGGTCTGGCAAGCGAGGTTGCCAAGAAGCGCGGGAAAGTTGGATTCTCCAAGAAGTTAGCGGTGAGAAAATTTGTCGATGTTTACGTCCGTTTTTAAAGTTTACTGTCTGCACCCTTGATCTAATTTTAATTCACCAGAATACTTTAGTTTAACATATAATATGAATACATCAGATATTTTATAGAAAGAGTTAACAATGATTTTGGAAAAATTATCCGTGATTGGTAAACGGCGATATCATTTACCATTTTGCTTTAAAGAGGAAGCCGTTTATGTTTTTAAAATCAGTCAGTCTTTCATTATACAGAATATGTGGAACGATGCGCGGACTGAGTTCGCAAATATGCGTTTCAGGTTTGTCTATCTCTTTGTTCTACCCATGATTTGGTAAAGAATTTCAAATTTGCATGTTTCTCAAAGACCAAAGGTTGCACATTACCAGCGCAATATTTGTTAAAAGCATGTGCATAAATCAATCAGATAGGCTTCTGCGCCGTTCACTTTTGGACGCAAAGCTACAATTAGACGATATCATTAAAGTATGTCGAGTAATGAATATGGTAATTACAGTGTACTCTTGTATTCAAAGACAAAATAACTACTATAATAATTAGAAAAAAAGAAACAATATGCGGAAGCTTTGAAAAACAGATAGGTCTGTCGAATTCGATTGTGATTCTTAAGATTAATGGTTGCTCTGGACTAACACAGCAAACTAACCGCTAAAAAATCAATTGAACACTGTAACTGATGAACGATTTAAGATATTTTTGCAAAGAAAAGCACGCAATCGTGGGCTAAAATCGTGATTCTTTCGAAGCAGCACTTATTTAGTTCGATGGCATAAAACATCAGCATAAATTCAAACTGTTTCCTCCGAATTTTTATCTCAAGAATTGTATTTATTTGGTTTTTTGCTAAAGCTTTAAAGTAAACGTCTTCTCACACCGTTGAACTTACAAACCATTCTTTGTCTTAAATGACAATATCAAATAAAACAACTCCCTTTGCGTCGAGAATGAATCAAGAATACCGACCAAAACATATTGAATCCCAGGTCACATTTACTTTTGAACGAAAAACCCAGGAACAATAACTGTGCCCGACTTTTTTTAACTGAGGAATAATTTTGTCTTAAAATATCTTCATCAACTTTTTTACAAGGCTTCAAATTTGTTTTAAGAAAAGATAACCAAGCGCTAGGATAAAGATTTGTCTTCTCTTTGAACGATGGCAACAGTTTGTCATACAAGCACATTGGGGCAATTAACAAACTCACAACAGTTCCATCTGTTTGCTTCTTAGAAACTTGAAACAAAATGACGATTATTTTTAGTGCTTCAGAAACAAGAAGTGCAACAATGGTTAAAGTAATGAAAGGCACTCGAGTAAGTAAAATATTAAAGAGATTTCAACTCAAACACGTGCATTTTAAGCGTGTTGTTTTTTTTTCCCATACACTTGAATCAAAAATCAAAATATAATTCAACGGGCGAATTTTTTTCCCCATTAGACGTACCAATTTCCTTACATTTCACTCTCCCGTAACAGGCAAGAGTGGTTTTAGTGATTTCTACTTTTTTCAAATAAAAAGAACGCTCTTTCCGTAACAGCTCATTAACTCGAAGTAAATGGAAACATTTTAAAAGATTCGATTTCGTCAATTTTGCGCAGCAAATTATCTGATCGTTTCATTTGATCGAAATTTGTTATTAAAAGTTAAAATAATCGAAAGCAAGGGAGACTGCCTATGCTAATGATTATAATACCTCTCCTTGTACTTTACACATTAACGTACATCAATTGCTGATACAAATACTCGAAAAACATCTGTCTGCCTTTCGGGAATACATAAGCCGGGAATGATTGTATAAGATTGCGACACAATTTGGACTTTACATCTCTTCTCGAAAGATCTGTTTAAAAAAAACTCGTTTCTCTCGATACTAGTTACGACAGCGACGACTTTTATTTTTCGAGTATCGAGAGAAATGATTGCCTAGTGTTTGAAACACATCATGTAAAAGGAGGACTTTTTTGACATTTAACTCCTAAATCAGAGCTCATTGACAAGCGCTTGAGGCTACAATGAGTTTGGAATATGACATTAAATAGCGGTGGACGCTGATTACAATCGCTGACTCCACTGTTCCCATACAATGGGGCAATCTCGTTCAGTTTATTATCTTTTATACATTGTTTACTCGCCAAGCGCTGTCCTTTTGTTCAGCTTGGTAATCTCAAAACATCTCCTTGCGAGAGTTCCCAATCGAGCTGAATAAAGGCGATCGAGAATTTAACAAAGCATCCAAAAGGATAATCTCGATGAATTTGAAGCAAAATAGCGTTCGTTTCACAGTTTCGCCCGGAAATAACGGATGGCATAAATTACTATCACCCAGAGACGAAGAAGAATACAGTATTCATATTTGTCGCGTCCAGCCTCTGTCATATGAACTCAATTCAAAGAAATGTGCTCTTCTGTGAGGACGTGGACGATTCCTTGCTGTGCCGAACAAAATTAAATTATGGCACAAAACAAGGTATTTCAAACTTTTAATACCAATAACCCAACCGAGCAAAACGTGTTTCGCAAAACGTTTGTCATTCTGTAGACTCCAAATCAACATTTGCTTTTTTCTCTTTTTTTCTCTCGATCGTGTCTTTGTTAAATTTGTCACCCATGACGTCAGAACGGTTGTGTTTTCGTTCGGTCGTATGCGAATCAAAACGCTGACTTCATTCTCGCTGTCAAAGTAATAAAATCTCTTTGATGATGAACGCTTGAGTTTTGTTTTAACGTTCGCGATATCTCAACAACTAATTCGTGTTTACGCAGTCACTCAAAGCCCGAGAAGTTTGTTTGCGGTTTGAAACCCAGCCGAGGTTGCTCGGGGAAGTTGTTCTTTATCTCAAGTACGATTGTTATTGTTCGATTCGTCATTCTCTTCGATACAAACGTGGAAAAGAAAAGGGAAGCAAGGAAGATTCTCAATTAAAAGAACTGATTAAATTCCAAAAAAATTGGTTTTTCTAAGCTCCGAACAATGGCTCAAAGCGGCAGGTTTATCTCGTCATTATTATTCCATTTCTTTATTTAGATATCGCGAATTCGTATTTACTGCCTTTTAAACGCAAATCAAGCGATATGAAATTTCGTCGTGTATTGAAAGTTTTTGCATAGTTTTATTAAACGCTGAACTCACACTTAGTTGCAGTCGGCAGAATACTCATCACAATAGCAAAGTGACACAGCTCTGTATCGAAGCATTGTTTCTCATGCTCGCCTGTGATTGGTTCGTTGGCCGCCTAAAAGTGGCTATAAGTCGACCGACTTGTGAGAAACGTGTGCCAACTGTGTATTAGCTGGAGCGAAAAACCTTTCAGGAGCATCAAGTCTCCCCAAGGAAAATCTTAATCGTTAACAGATGGAGAGCCCGATCACTTTTCGTGAGAGTCAGTCGCAGTTGACAAGTCAATTTCATTTCACCTCCGCAGACCATCACGAGAAGAACTTAAAGCGAAAGCGAAGAAGGAAATCCCCAACACAGCAAATCGCACAACGACATGCAGCAAACTTACGCGAACGAAAACGAATGCAAAGCATAAACGAGGCATTCGAGGGCCTTCGACATCACATCCCCACGCTACCTTACGAAAAAAGACTATCGAAAGTCGACACTTTACGACTAGCTATCGGATACATTGGTTTTCTTACGGAAATGATTAGTTCGGATATGAGCCACAGTCAAGCGCTACAACCAACATCTTCGGAACAACCCAGAAAAGTTATGATATGCCATAGAGGTTTCGGTGAGTACATGTTGGAGTGAATTTTTCGCTTTGGTAACTGAAGTTTATACCCATCTGGGAAGTTCTCACGTACATATAGGGCTGATGGCTAATAATCAAAATGACGTTTTGGTCATTTTTTTGCATTTTATAAACTGCAAATTAAAGGAAATCTCGTCAAAATCGGTTGGAAAATCCTTAAAGAGCAAACAAGAGCCACCCTTACCATTCCATATAACACACGAGGCAAAATCCACATATCATTTATACATTTCAACTCTTTTATTGATATTCTTCGTGTTTGCTCACTTTTTTTTCCTCGCCTTGTTTTCCCTTTTGGCAGGTACTCAAGAGTACGGTCTTCCGCCATTAACAGGCCATTCACTGTCGTGGACAGATTCGAAGAAACCCAAACTATCGTCCAGTATTATGAAAGCGAAAATTTGGACCCCTGAAGATCCTAGAATACATAACAATGCAATGTATCCTTCGCCTTTGTGAGAAAAGGAAAATACTGTTAATTACACTTTATGCCACGGCAAGGAAAATATTGAACTTTAATTGCAATTTAGCAGAGGTAGAATTATTTTTTAATGATTAGCTTGTGAGGATGACATTGTAATATATCTGGAAGCCCGAACGAAGTTTTAATATAAAGAGAGATTTTTTTTTTTTCATTTGTGGGTTAGTGTAGTGTGTCGTGTTTGCATTTTTCTCTGAGGGAAGAATTCTAATCAAATCAACTTAACGGTGACTGGTTTTTCTGTAAAACGTTTTTGTAAATTTTTTCTCTCTCCAAGCTAAACACATCTAGAATTTGTACATTAAAAAACGTTGAATTCCACATTACTTGTGTGATTTTTGTTTTTGGGAAAGTTAAGTGGCATAATCTCTTTGATAAGTAAATTTATGAAAAATATAATTCGTCATGGGGATAAACTGTACGGCCTTTTGTTACATTTGAATTTAACAAAAGAGTGAATGTGGTCTTACTGCGCGGGAGACTTAATTTACATAAAACTGCTCGACTTTTCGTAGCTCGGTATTATTGGCAAATTAAAGATTAATGAGCTGCGCAAAATATAATCGCTCTGAAAAAAGAACCGGATCATGTTTGCTTCCTCTCTCCTCAACGAAGGCTCAAACTTCAGGGCGTTTGTCTTGTGTCGTGGAATAATATAACTAACGGGCCTTTGACTTTACCGTGTGTGCTCCTTGTGTTATAAAGAACCCTATCAGATTTCTAAAGACTCGTATAGAATGGTTGAGTAATAGTGTTTCCCAGGAGGTCTTTTGGACTGTGCAGACCTCACGGCACCATCAGACGAAACAAGGAGCCTCATTTGTCGTGTTTCCTAAGAGAAAACGTGGGTTTACACCAATGGGCTCTTGATCTTATCGATCAAGGCTGCCCTCTTTGCACGTGCGGGCGTGTTTGCCCTTCCAAAGGCTCGACCGTAGAACATTTGTGCAATGTAATAGCTTAGGGGTGTCACACCCCTCTGAATGTTGAGCAACCGAGCGTTAAGGGGCTTTGTTCTATGCTCCTCACTCACATAAGCATTCCAAAGTGGGATGGGCTGGGGATGGTGTTGGAAGCCCTTGCACGAGACCAATTTTCAGGTAACAGGTAGATAAATGCTGTAAACACTGGCCACGAACGCAAGGCATGACATTTTATTAAACAACCTGCGCTAGACAAACGAGATTTTAATCCGTTGGTGTGAATATCGACCCCAAGTCTTGATACGCTTATTTGCATGAGCCCCAAACGTGTTATACTCTTTATCAGGGGGATATATTTAAATGATATTGGTACACACGTTCACTTGCATGGATTAAAGCGATAATGGCCGACGTAATTGCTTGTGTCGGTTCTGGCCTATCAATACAAAATACTGTCTCCGTTGCTGAGACCAAGAAGCATATTCCTATCGCAGCTGCGGGAAAAGTATTGTTAAACAGACAAGAGGCAGCTGTGACGAGCCATTTCCAAGAGTAGCTCCATTTCAAAGAAAGGAGACAGGTATTATGTGTGCACACGTTCGAAGATTTACACAATTGGTAACAACCTGCGAGCTTCTGAATAGCTCTTTTTTTCATTAACACACTGGTCGATATCTACCCTGTGGAGACGAGACGTGATTGGTCGAGAAACGACACATGAGTTTTGTATAGTGCGCCCTGAATTAACCAGACCCTGAGCTATGATCAATTATTTGGCCCTTTCAGAGCTTTGTTTCAATTGTCAACGTCTCCTGGCGCATTCACCAGACGCATGCAATCGATTTAGAGCCAGATCTTGATGGCAGAGGAGACGAGGTAGTGTATGTGAAACAGCACTGTGACTATGGTCTCCTGTCATAGCCCCCATTGTCTGCTAGATCGAGCGTGAGTTTCAAGAGCGGACTCTTCTTCCGACTTGTATCCTTTATTAAAGGTGTTACCCACGCCATGCAGTGAATTAGATTTTTCTTTTGTTTGTAGAGATTTAAATAGGAGAAGCAGATGTTTTTTGGGCTTAAAAATAAATCATGAATGTATAATCAAGGAGGATTCGTCGGCCAGAAGTCTCTGGAGGGAGCTGACAGAGATCATTCTCTGCAGAGACCCCCTCAATCCTCTTAGAATCTCCCATCTTCTTCCAGGAACGAAAAAGCAGCAAAAGATGGAATATTTCATTGAAAACAGTGTTAATGATGTGAAATATATTAATTAACGATGGATAGTAGTAGTATTGTTTTGTTGTATGTCAACACATTTGACTGTGACTCGTAAAAGGCTTTTAAAATTTGCCAAAAACACAAGTTACTGAGCACGTTTAGCGCTGGTAATTATGTTAACCAGCGAATTTTCTCAGTTCACAAGTGAATCAAGCCAAAACAAGCTTCCTCTTAGAAATGACAGTATTGGGGTCGGCTCAATGTTATCGAGTGAGCGACCTAAGAAGCAAAAAAATACTGAAGTCACAAAAATGCCGCAAATTTATGCAAAAAAGAGATCTTTTTTCATGTTTTATTCATATTTAGCCCTTGGCGGGAACATCAGTGCCTCGAGAAGTATTTTTTCCCATTTATGAGAGTTTTCTTTCGATATCAAAATTCAACACAGCATAGAAAAGCGGTGTTTAACGTAAAATTTTTCGGGGGTTTTAAGAGAAAGTTCTGCGCATGCGTTATTCAAAAGAAAACGTTCGAATTCACCTACAACTGTTATTGACAATTATGTGAGCGCTATGTTAGTGACAACTAATCGCTTTCTCCAGGTGTGTTTGCTGTTTATCGTCTTCTTAACTATGTTCCCTCGCTTTGAATTCTGCTATCTTCTTGTAACAGGTAAAACGAAAATTGTAGCGGACAATTCTCAGAAAAGTATGAATATTTAATTAACTGTGGGTCTGCAGACTTGGCGTTTCCGCAAACACTCGATGTGACTGTTTGCCGCGGAAGTTCTCGAAATGTAACTTACACGAGAGATTCTATGGGCGTTGGAAATCGGATGGGTGATGTAAATGCCATAACGAACACTTTTGGTTAGGGTCTGTAAGTGATCTGATCTAAAATTTAAATCAAAACCTCGAATTTGTCATTCATTCATACGAAGCACAGACAACGTACAGGCAATCTTAAGAATTCTGTGAGATATTCACGTCTTTTGTAGTTCAAAGAAAGGAAAACCCCTTCCTAAAGCCGACCGCAATGGGGTTCTTGGTAAGGCGGAATTTCGCTCGTTTTTGCATAAAAATAAACCTAGAGTTTTCCATAAAAGTAATCATTGCTTGTGCTTGTAAAGTTTTTCGCTCAACTTGCAACATTGAAAGGATTTTTGTGGCGAATGTCAGTGTAAATTCGAGAATACAGTCATGAGTAATGAGAGGTTCTTACAATTCTCAAAAGTCAATCTTGTTCACTGTACGGATCATGACAGCATTTTGGCCACGTGCTTTAAATTGAAGCTATAAAAAAGCTGTTGTTTTGAATGCTAAAATGCATACAACTTTTTTCATTATTCCTAATTCAGAGGCAAAGGTGACTTTTATTCTCCAATCTCTGATTTTTATCAATTAGATTTCTGCCGAAGAATTGATCTTTTGTTGAGGCACAACAGAAAAGCCTGCCAGGTCAATTATTGGCCAGAGCCGTTGAGATAAGTGAGGGATTCGTGTTATATCATTTTCAGCCAATTTTACCGACGACTTTACCGTCAATTCACCATCTAGATGCGCATTACATTTTAAGCTTTTCAAAGTGCTGACAAAATTCACTTAAACAGCTTCTTAACTAATACTGTATATTGTATAGATACCTAAGTGTTACTTGACATCTCGGCACAAAAAAAAACCTATGTCAAAGAAATCAGGTTTCCTGCAGTGATGATGTATAAGTGGTTTTCTTCCTCGTATGTATTTCGCTCCAAACAATAATTAAAACTCTAAGCAAAATTGTTTTTCTTAAATACCCTTACGTTACAATGAGGGCATCAAACTCTCAGATAAGATCCGCCAAAAGCTGACTTCATTTAAATGAAACAAAAGAAAGCACCGCAGTAGATAATATTTCTGGCTCAATTAAAAAAAGGAAAAAAGTCTTTACAAAGCTTGCTTTAATTTAGGCACCTTTTCTTCGCCGAGATGATTAATAATGGATATTGGCGCTACTCTCAAAGACACACTATTTTAAAATTTCTCGCAGGCAAGATAATTTTCGTGTTTCGAATTTCATAAACCATAGTCTACGATTAAAATTCGTAAAGGTGAAAAACCGTAATTTTGTGAAAATGAAAAAAATGATACCATGCTTAAACTTGTGATAGCTGTAATAAGCTTGTTTAATAACTGCGAAAACCTCACTCGCCTGTCTTGTAATTAGTTTATACTACACGAAGAGGAAAGTATCACTTTGGACAACTAGCAAGTTTCTGATATCCATATAGAATCAACTGAAGGAAAAAAGAGGACGCTGAGGCAAACGAAAGTCTTTTCCCTTTGTTTTTGCGCCACATAACTCTTACTCAAAGTTGTCAAAGCATTTGCGACTAAATTTATTTTCAATTATTAGCGTCTGAAAGAAAAATATTAAACAGAAAGCCAACTTAAAGTCATTAATGTATCTTTCATGTCCGGTAACCAATTTCAAGCCTCCTATTGAAATGGCTTCCGTCATTTTTTTTTTTCTTTTCTGAGTTAAGATCTAGGTCATTTCGCCCAGTTTCGTTTGTATTCTACCTCAGAAAAAAATTTTACGGATGAGAAAGGATACATTTTAAGGCGATACATCGTGTCTTGCAGTCCTTTTGTTGGCTCCTGTTAGAAAGCCCAAACAAATACTACTAATATGTTAATGAGATTTTAAATGCGACATACAAAATAAAGACACGATCCCATCCATTATTAACTTCAATTAATGCATTCTTCACTAATAATTGTTTGTTTAGTTTTTCCTACAGCTGCCCCAAAACACTTCGTACCGTGGGAACAGCACATATGGTAAAGATAATTCTTCTCACAAAACAGAATAGCAGCAATTTTAATTTCGCTTCGGCGTGAAATTTTAATTCAAAACACCGCAAAATTAACTTCGCAAAGGCCTCGTGTTTTAATGTATTTTCTCAAGAAATTAATCATCCAAACTAAAACTGAACTGAATGAAAGATGAGTTAAAGTCTACTAAAATAGGACTCCTTGAGTGTTTTTGAACGCGAGAAATGTTGACGCGTGTGGCATTGGAGAAATTGTAAAATAACAATGATGACGAACATACCGTCCCGAATATAATTTTTTTGTTTAATTTTACCCGAGCTTCCTGTAATTTTGCGTAAACGGTGGACCGGGAAAAGGCAATATATCTAAAATCCAAGGAATTTCGAAAGAAAATAAGTCAGCATTTTGTGGTTTTTGGTGGTCTAGTTTCTGATTTTTTAATGTCATGTGTACTCAATATCAGATTAACAAAAGTATTGTTTTATAATTAACTGAAAAAATTGCATAACTTGTGCTTTCCTGGCGTACCCTTTCGATTTCGCCATAATTTTGGCAAATATTTAAGGCTGAATTTCTTACAGATCTAAAACTCTTTTTGATGCTATTGTCTCGCCGTGTTTACATCTCTGCTGGACATTTCAAAAAAACCAACAGAAAATTTGTCTTGTAATTAACCCCTTCGATACTTCCACAGTGAAAACTGCCGATTAGTGTTGTCACCTATTTGCATTTTGGTGATTAAAACTCAGTGTTAACTGAAAAGAATCTTCAGATCCCCAGAGATAAATGACAATGTGTCTGATTACTAAACTTACTTCCTATCCGGCCGAAAGCTGTTGTTAATGGCACAAAGATTAAAAATTAATGAGATCTTCAAGGGAAGACGGAAAAATTAAATCCTAAGATATATCAAAGAAACGATGAAATCAATTTCCTTTTATTTTTGTACTTAAACGACACGAGCGAAATTTGACGCTTTCTTTATCAATTGAACGCTAGAGTAATATCTCTCGCAAATCCTAGGCTTTTGTTTCGCTTTTGTCATTATTTGCCGTCCGTCAATTTGTTAAGTTGCGAATAACTTTAGACGTGTGAACTGTTATCTATATTATGAAACAAGCCGCTTTTATCTCTGAAGCTTTGAATACGTAAAATTTGTCTCTCCGAGTAAAATTTACCCGACTTCAAATGATGTTAACCCTCATTGAATATTTTTGAGCTTTCACGTGGCAAAATAAACAAAAACACTGAGCGAATACTTTGAAAATTACGACGACAGAATTTTACTAAAACTTGCCTTTGGTGCGTAAGTTAATTTTCCAAGGCGATGTTCCCGGCACTATACCTTCTTCCGGGCGTGTTGCAAAACTATATTATCAGAATTGAATTTAAAATCTCTTTTCAGCTGTTTGACGCTGAATGTATCATGACAATTTATTTTCTACTCGAGCGAGGTTTTCATCCTCACCATTGAAGGAGCGAAAATGAAAGGATTTCTCTCTAGGAGACTGTTTCAACCAATTGGAATCTTTTAAGGGAATCTGACTTCAAAATAGTCTACGAAATTGAATTTTTTTTATCACAATATCTTTGCTCTTTGCCCACCAAGGCTTGTTTTTTCAGCTTTCAATTTAAGATTCTTTAAAAACTGAAAAGCGTGGGATGCAAACAATAAGGCGGCTGTTTCATGAAAATCAAATTGACTGATAATAAGTTTTCCTCTAGGAAACGCAATTTTCGACCAGGAATTTTTCAGAGCATATTGAGAGGTCTTTAACTCGGTCATTTGAAATCTTAAAATTTAAACAAGGGGAACCTCGGGGCAAAATTCATGAGTCAAGGTTCAAAATAGTTTTTGAAATGATAAAACAAAAGTACGACTTTTGATATCACTTCTGTATCCAAGAAGTCTCTGGGTTATCTGGATTACAGCTGGCTTTCCTCGCACACAAGCAAAGTCTTAAGTAGTTTGTGTGAAGCATTTTCACGTTCTCTTTAGTAATTGTTATGAGAGAAGGCGTAAAAAATGAAGAAAAAAAAAGTAGATAGGCTTAAACAAGGAAAAACACATGTGCAATATTGTAGTCATATATAAGTTTCAGTTCAGGATTTCTTTGTGGAATGAAATCGGATTTGAATTTCATAGAAAAAAAATTGAAATGAGCGAGAAAATACGCTTGGCATTGACGAAAAAACTGTTCGAAAATATTCAGGACTACAATTTTTTTGCTGATTCATTTGGGAATGCATTTGCACGCAAAGTTTCTAATATAAAAAGAAACGTAGAGCTTGCCTTTTCAACTTGGTGAAGTCTCCTGAGCAAATATGACTTGACTATCATAAACCTTTCTCCCTCGAGTAAAAAAAGTGATTCTCAATTTGAGTAACCAGAGAAAAAATACCCCAGTAGCACCGAGAGCACACAATATCCAAAAGTAAATTTCAACATTTGTAAAGATTGAAGAAAAAAATAAACGCATCTTGTATACAAACCTTTAAGGTACAAAGCTTTACGCGAGCCTCACGAAAATTGAACGCAAAGCAACGAGTGACTCAAACGTGCGCGACGGTGCCGTCGATCACAAATGAGATTCGCTTGGAATTTGCGCGCTTTTTATTAATCCAACCGTGAGAATTTTAAGCAACAAACTTAAACCGAACATAGTGTAACTTTCTCACGGACTGTTAAAAATTATTATGGAAAATTATTAAAATCCTTTTAAACAAACAACCTACGGATTGCATCTGCTAGGTCTTTAAGCTTTCCTTGATTTGAATGTCCGTCAAGATTTTATTTTTGTGCTTCAAGTTTTATTTCTCAATTTTAAAGTCTTGCTCAGACTGTAGTTTGCAAAATAAAGGGTGTCTAGGAGATTTCTTCTCTTACAGCAAGCCTTATCTTCACGATTCCATACTGCATCTTTAAAAAAAATTGAAATTAAAAAATTCACAAGACGCAAATCACTTCTCGACCAGACTTTATGGGATAAACGACATTAGTTCATTCATCAAGATAAATTGTTTTTTAATTGATTCCTTTTCCTCGGCTTCTTTTGGCAACTTAAAGACTCTCGTAAAATTCGGGATATCTTGGTTGATATACAATTACACATTGCTATTCAAACAAGAGCATGTTGACCTGGTTAAATATTGCAAAGGTTTTTAAAAATCAGCTGAGCAAACTTCAAATGACCCTAACTTTACTGTGCCATCATTAAAAAGGAGATAGACATGAATGTATGTTAGAGCAAAACATAAAAGTCTTCTCAGCATGAAAATTAGTGGGAAATTTCTAAGCACTTGGAAGAACTTTTGACGATGTGTTTTACATCGCTAACTCAATAATGGTGGCCTGACTTTATTTTTTCCTGGTGTGGAAACGTGTCAGTTTGAAGAATTCTCGTCAATAAACAGCAATGTGTGTTTTGCTTAATTAACGTGTGCTGAAATATAAACTTCATTGTTTACTTTTCTTCTGCACGGAACCAACTTGTGGCAAAGACCTCTAGGACAAGTTGTCGAGTCAAAACAACGAACACGAACACTCTCCGAGATTCAAAACAAATCCTACTTTCCTTCTTAACAATTATGGAAAGCGTGAATCTTATAACATGCCCAAAGGTCTCAATTTTGAAACTTCTACATTAGTTCTTAGTTACCATTGAAAGTTCGTGTGTTATTTGAGTTTATAGGACTTTTTGTTATTTCCTTTCTTTAGCGGACACTTTTCGACGTGAACAAGAGCATAATGATTGTTTCGTGAAGCAAAAGCATCTCCAAGACTCCATTAGCACTTGCCACCTGTTTCGTATCAAGTTTCGACACTTAACGACTTTCTCTTACTTGTGAAATTGTCAATTATGCGTCAAAAGAAGTCTATGAATAACTTGAAATTGCGTTACGATATCAAATATTTGAAAAACTTTCTGTAGTAACCTGATATCTTCTTTTGGATAAGTCGGCTGATATGAGGCAGATTAATCAAAACTCTAGCGCATCATTTTAAATCGTACTTCACCCTAGAAGATATGATTTCTAATTCAGTTCCGAAGCTCCACTGGATACTGGTCCTTCCCGGGTACACCCTTTTACAAAATGAGGCCCGGCACCCGCGCAACTCATTCAAAAGCACATGATTTTCCTAAATTAAACCATAGAGAAGTAACCTTTTCATTCTCAAGATCTCATTCTGCAATTCTCCTTACTGTCTGCCATACAATCATTGTGATGTTAGTTTGAAGAATTTGCTGTGGAATCAACTAGTAAACCCCTATAACTTATCTGCTGAATATTGTATTGATATTGTAAGGAGAAACTCTGTTTCGGTCATTCATGCGAGTTAAAGGGTTAAAAAGTGGGCTTATTTCAAGATTTGATGCTTCAAAAACTGTCTTACCCCCTGATGTCCGTCCTGTTCAAAAACACACGTGGTGTCTCTAAGCATACAACACTTTTTCAGACATGGTTCGGTCAGCGGCTGCAAAGTAATTTTTTTCGTCTGGATGTCGGTAGGGAAGGGGAAGAGAGGTTAGGGTAGAGGATGTGTGTGACGTCTCCCCTTTGTGCGGTCGCCCCAAGTTCCGTCGCCCTCCAAAATTTAAAGCTTACGTCAAAATATGTTCAAACCTTTATTTTACTTAGGTCAAAAATTATGGGCGACAGAACTTCACTTGAGGGCGACGGAACTTGGGGTGACTGTGTGAGAAGCTGGGCGACACCACCTGTTACTAGGTTGGATCGCCCCCTTACTGGCATATAGCTTGAGAGACACCTACAGCTTCACTTCAAGCCATGGGAGGGTAGAGGGAAAAGCCATTTGCCATTACCATATAATTGCCGAGGTGGTTGACGAATAAGGAACAGTGCTTGTAGACCGTATTTCATCCATATCTGATGGAACCTTTCATGCAAAGAATACAAAACGACAATGGAACAAAAAGAAGACGCAAATCGAAAGGAAAGAACAGAGAGCGCGATGGAGACTATTTGTAATGTGACCAGGACATATTATTTCTCAGGCCCCTTAGAGGAAGGCTTGTAGGGCCTGGGCCTCACCATGCAGTTCATTTTCCAAGATGGCGGCTCTTTTTGATGGACTGATGTTAAGAAGAATTTTTCTTATGTTTTTCATATTTTCGAGATGTTCGATCGTTTACGGCTGGGATTCTGTAGATTTAGAGTTATTCGACCTTGTAGAAGAAATCAAAGATAATTTTTATGACATACTTGGGCTAAAACAGGTTAGTATAACGGAATCTTTCTCGTCGGATAAATTCTTAACGATAGCTGGTTAGCTAAAGTTGAATGACTTATTGACCGTTGGTTCAACTTATGGTTGTATTTATCGAAAGAAAAATATACTTACGGGCTTTCAATGGATAATATATCGAGTTTAGTGTAAGTTCAATTATTGTAACGTAACGCGGATAACTTCTGACAAAGTGTGGTTTTGCACCACTGATCGTACTCAAGGTCCGTTGAGCATATGCTACTTTCCTCTAGGTTAGTCAAGGTGGTAAAATTTCCGCACAGCCCCATACTATTGTAAAACAAATCTATTTTCCCAATGGCAATGTATTGTTTTTGTCATTGTTTTCTATATCCAAGAACTGAATGCATAATGTGGTATGGGGTTGTGCGAAAATTTTACCATTATTTTTATGAGAGAAATTATTTTCTCTGACATGACGAGGAAGACTCCTAAGCATTACCTTACACGTTACGTCATTTTTATTGTCTGTAACCTTATTGACAATAGTTCTCAACCAATGAGTGAGCAAGAATTTTTGCAGTTATTGGGAAAAAAAAAGGAAATGAAAGTGTGTAACTTATTTATGATCATCAATAAGTTACCAGCTGTCAAAAGGTCAATCAAAATGCGTTGACCTACATTGGATGGAAATTCTACTTCATTGCTTTTATCTGAGAATTCTCACTGATTTAATTTTTCCATTTACCTTTAGGATGCAAGCCAGGCAGACATCAGAAGGGCATATCGTAAACTGTCTCTTCAGTTGCACCCTGATAAGAACAAAGAACCTGATGCTGAGGTTAAATTCAGGCAGGTGAATAAAAGACAGAAATATGTTGTTTAGATCCAAAGTAACTTAGTTAACATGTAGTAGTAACAGACAGCTTACCAAATTGGTTGTCAATAATCCCCTAATTGACATTAAATTTTTTTTTTTTTTCTAGTAGCCACTTGGCTCCTAAATTTTTCAAAGTGGTAGCCAATTCAAAAAAAGTTGGTCACCATTTTTAAAGACAAATAAAACCTTTTTTAATGCTGTTAGCATTCTAGATAGACCCTCCAAAATTAAGTTAGGAAAAAGATCTTTAACATGCTACAAATTGGCACTAGGATGTCCAATTTAATTCACTTTATCTCTAAGTAAGGTTATGATGAAGCATTCTAGTCACCAATTTGGTGACTAATTTTCAGGATTTGGTTGCCAAAGTGAAAAATTTAGTCGCATTGGCGCCTGTATTGGGCACAATTTCACGCCCTGCTATCTGGTTGATATTTTATTTATGTTGTAAAAAGAAAATTCTGTCCTAGTCACTCATGGAGTTAAAGGGTTTAACTCCCAGAATTGATTAACATGTAACTTCTCCCTATTATATCCATATATACATCATTTAGCAAACAGCGAGAGAATACTCAAGCTTATCAAGTAGAAGTTGTTATCTTGATCCAACACCAAATTCTTGTAATCAATTTTAAAGAAAATGTGTAGCACCAAGAGGGGATGATTAACAATCAGATCTTCAGAGTTAACCCTTTATTTCCTTGATCAAATTTGTAATTCTCCTTACTGTCAACCATACAATTCTTATAAAGTTAGTTCAGAGAATTAATTGTTGGATCAACTAATCATCCCCAAATTAATATTTTTCTTTAGTCTCATCACTTATCTGGTTGTTATTGTATTGATATTGTAAGGAGAAATTCTGTCTTGGTCACTCATGAGAGTTAAAGGGTTAAAGGGTGAACGTTAAATTCTCAGCATCAAAATTATCAGACAGTTGGGGGGGGATTTATTTTTAGACCTTCGAGGAGAAAGGGGTAGACTTTGTAACAAATTGGAAATCACGGAATCATGCCCATTGAAAAATATTACACAGGAAAATGCAAATAAGCTAGAAAAGAGAAAGAGAGCATGCATAACTTCACACAGGCCTGTCAATCCAACTGTCAATCATGTAATCCCCCATGTACGTAGCGTTCGCAAGTATTGTTTCTTGCTCAGACAACTGAAACATAGGGCTATTCATTGAAGAAGAATTAGTAGTGTTATCTTGGCCCTTGCTCTTTACCAACAAAAATGTGAATCTTAAGAGACTGAAGCTGGTGGTGAGCTTTTGCAACCTCTTTCCCAGGTCATTGCGTCCACAAAGGGTGACGCTTTTCAATGGGCACGATTCCCTAATGGAAAAGTTTAAGTCAATTCAAATTATATCATGAGAGAACTATGTGCATGTTTACAGACATATATATATCTAAGTATATAGGTTTGAGTTATAGGAAATACAAAAGCCTTGCTGATTCCAACACCTGCTTTTTTGTCAAATTTAAAACTAGATCTTTCGGCTGAAACACCTCATTGATTTAGTCAGGTTCACAGTATTCCCCTGAATGCAGGTTTCATAATTGTCAAATCTCTCCTTGTGATCATCAGCTTGTTGCAGTATCAGAGGTTCTGAAAGATGAAGAGAAAAGAAAAAGGTAAATACTACAGAATATATTATGTATTGTGACAATACTATAGAACTTACTTCATAATGCTGGGTAAGAGGATGTGATTTGTGTACACTATTTGGTTTTTTATTCTCTGGAACTCACATGTTTCACATGCAAACTTAGAAATAACCATTAGCTCTTCACAGAATGTGATTTTGTGAACTGAGTTGATAATATATAAATTGGCCACCATGAAGAATTTCTAAAAGTGATGTTTTGAGCATTAGCCCCTTGCCAATTTGCATTTTCAACTCAGTTGATAAAACCAGGTGACAAAACAATTTTCTTTTAGAAACTTGCCACCTTTATTCTGTAGCTTAGTTGTAGAGCACTAGAGCATGGAAATCTGAAAGTCCACAGTTCAACTTCTAGTGCAAGACTCAGTTTTTTGTTGTTGTCATTGTTGTTCCACTCTCATGAAAATTTAAATAACATCTTTCTTTATTCACTCTTTATACTGTTTTCCATAGATATGATGGCATTCTGCGTGATGGCCTGCCAGATTGGCGACAGCCTGTATTTTACTACAGGAGTGTGCGCAAAATGGGACTTATTGAATTCACAATCCTTCTCTTTTTGATATTAACCATTGGACACTACATTGTGGCTTGGTCTATTTATTTGGAGAAAAAACTTGAATTGGTATGTTCCGGTTGGAAGCTTGTCATCTCTCTTAACCCTTTACACCCTAACATCAATATGCATATTCTCCATACTGTTCTTTAGACATTTCCCAAGGTACTGACAAAAAAAATTTGTTTAACAATCCAGAACTTCTTAAGTTGGTGATCATTTTCTTTAATTCTCGTAACCTTGATATATGATTTAGGGGCAATATGGTCAGGAGAAACTAGATGCTCGTCATTCTTAGGGTTAAAAAGTCAAAGGAATACTGAATAGGATTTCACTTTGCTTGTGCCAAATCCAATTTAAAGTTCTTCTGTGTGTAATTTATGGTGAGCACCTCTAAACACAAGTTAACAGTGTTAATGGTTTATGAATTGTTTGATATCTTAAGGACACCTGTAGGATGGGTTATTTGCAATCAAACAAACAGAAATATATTTTCTCTGATATAAACCTTTAGCTAATAAAAAATATGTAATGTTTCTATAATGGCCACAGTCTGCTTTCTCTGTCCTTAACCCCTTCACTCACAAGATCTCACTAGTAGTTCCCCTTACTGTTTCCATATAATTTTTACAATATAAGTTTGGAGAGTTTGGCACTGGATCAACCAATAATCCACTGATTGATTTTTTTTTTCTTATCACTTGTCTGCTTGAATTTATATCGCAAGGTTAAATTGTACAGAGAAATCCTGTCTCAGTCACTCATGGGAGCTAAAGTGTTACTTTGTGACTTTTGTCATAGTTCAATCAAATTAGGTTCCTAAATGTATGAATTCCGAATTTTTGTTTTGGCTATTCTTTTCTCTACAGGAAGAGCTCCTATTTTCCAAGAAAAAACGCGAGGACAAGAAACGGAACAAAAAGTTGAAATCCAAACTGAATGATGAAGACATTCCTGATCTCGCAGACATAATGGGTGAGACTTGTTGACCAGTTTCATCTGATGGCGTTGTTTTCACACCTTAAAAAAAAAGTCTAGATTTGAATTTAAAGCTCTCATGAATACCACTGTGTTCTTTACAGTAAGGACGCCCTGGAAAAGGTTAAAAGTTTTCTACAGTTTTCGGATATTTGCTTCCCTATGAACGCAACAATACTCCAAGGTGCACCGCAAGGAGCCAAAGTTTATCCTTGTCTTGATAACATAAAACTACTGGGGATAATGCTACTTTCCCTGAAAGTGATGATGGTCTATCACTGGTTACCCGCCCTCCACTTCCCCCGTGCATTTTTCGTAATTTCGAGTGGAAAGTCACGGTCGCTGATTTTGCCTTTTACAGAAAAAAGAAGATTATCAAATCCCGCTTTTTGGAAGGGCATTTGAACACAATTTTGGCCCCGTGGGGCGGGCATTTGAACGAACCAATCTTTAACAGTTCAAATGCCCCTGGGTTGCCCTGGGGGATGTTGGAGCTTCGAATGGATCGACACGTTACATCTTGAGTCAAACGATAATGCTTCATCATAAACTGTCCTTGTTGTTTCAGTACAAGAGGTTGGTGTGTCAAAACCCACACTGCGCGACCTGCTGCCATTCAAAATGATGCTCTGGCTGATTGGGTTCTGTACGTCACTGCCTGAGCAATATCGGGCTATGGTGGAATACTTGGAAGAAAGAAGGATGGAAAAGATTGAGGAAGAGGATGAAGATGACGATGATGATGATGAATTGGAAGGTGAGTTGGTTGGTTGTTTTTCTCCCTGTTAGTGGTATTTCAAGTCACCACCCGCAGTCGTGTGATTTGCAAATTACTTTCCTTGCATTTTAAATCCGCAAATTTAAGTAGAGCTTCCTTTAAATCACTACTGACATTTTAGAATTGTCATTAGAGAAACAGCCCTTAGAGCTACAAAAGGCGCAAAGAAATTTTATGCGCTGTACAATGTAAATTATTGCAGAAATGGCGCTATGAACTTGCCCACGTTTCGGTTTTGTTTTACGAAACGCAGTCTAAAAGCAATGGTCCTTAAGAGACTGGCTGTAATCTTTCCTTGTGATGCTTTTTTTCTTGTTTGTTGCATTGATTTCATACTTTCCGCTGCTGTTATTAGTGTTTGTGATGTAGTTTGTGTTGTTGTTGCAATTTAAACAATGTTATCCGGCAAACGTGCAGCCGCTACATTGATTTATTTGTTTTCAGGTTTGTAAGGAGCACGCACAACTACTTTTGGTTTGAAGTTGAAGCTATTGTGCTATTGTTTCAAGGCTCCCAAAAAACTTTTAATTATTTTTGTGTATATTAATTTAATTTCGAAGAAAAACCATCAAGACCACGAAGGAGACAGAGAGTAAACATTCCACAGGAAGATACAGAAGACAACAGCTGGGAGGGTGCTCCTGTCACCAATGTGTTAAAGATGGCCACAGATAACGACGACCATTCTGCTGTAACAGAGAAGGTATTGGATGCAGTGATCTACTGATTCAACAACATTGCTAGAGCTTGCAGTTTAGCGTTGTTTTTCTGTTGTTTTTATTAGATGTGTTTGGTCATATTTAAGTTCAGAACTAGAAGCGAACATAAGAAAAATGTACATTGAAAATTCCAGTCATGGCCTGTCTGTTTAGTATAGCGCAAAAGAGAGATTGTTAGTTAACAACTATTCGACGAAGTAGAGGTGACTAGTGGTGGATATTTATCGAGCCGCATAGTGGCAAAGGTAATATCAACCGCTAGCCACTGACAGTGAGATGGATAGATGTTTCAACATAAACTTAAACAGTGAGATAATACAGCACAAAAAGATGATTTTAACTTATTTATTCCCGCCTGCAACGATTTTGATATTGCTCGGAGGTCAATGGCAAAGGATATTCGGAGTTTTAGTAGCCAATCAGAGCGCGCCTTCGACGCTAAGTACTGTTTTAGAATATACAAATTATTGATATCCTTTCATAAGGTAGAGCCAACAGTTAAAGCTTATTACGTGCCATTTATAACTGCATTTTTGCAGTATACGCAAGTCTATTATGTTATAGCCTCTCTTCAGCGCGTTTGAATAGGAAACCCCCAGAAGGTTTTGGTTTCTTTTTGAAGGAAAATTATGCTTCTGAATGAACCCACATTCTGAACCCACGTGAATGTCGTCTCCGTCCCCCACAGAAAAAAAATGTTACATTATGGCTTTGCGCGGTTTGACAGTCCAAATATAAACCAAACCTTGAAACAAGCTAAAATTTCGGTCACGACCGCCTTCATTTAAAGGAAAAGAAGCAGTTTAACTGATCTTTTACATTTTTTCCAGTCAGGTGAATGGACAGATCACGAACAATCCCTTCTTACCCGTGCTATGGTGAAATTTCCCGGGGGGACACCGAACCGTTGGGAAAAAATTGCTGTAGAGATTGGGAGATCAGTAGAAGAGGTAAGGAAATGAGAAGTCCCAATGGCCGCTTGAGCCGGTCGGAGGTTTTGATTATGATGTCATGGCTACAATTTCATTTCGCGTCAGCTTAACGTCCTGTTTTCCTGTTGATGCTGCAGGTTACAAAACAAATGAAAAAGTTAAAACAATCCTATGGAGCACCTACTCATTCATCGAACGCAGGTAGAAGAAATGTTCTTGCTCCTTAAAGTACTTTTATTTAATTATTTACTTTTTTTTCTTCCCTGTTGTTTTTGTTGTTGTTGTTGTGAGCTAACTAAGCATTCTATTGAACCATTTCGTTTTGGATAAGGTTCTTCTGTTTTATGATATGGAATATATATTTTTATATTGACAATCACTTTTTTGTTAGTTGTGTCACGTTACCTGTTTGTCGACGCGTTTGTGTCAGGGAACCGTTTAAATGAAACGCAAAGTTATTACATTCTCTGGAAGGTCCAATATACCTAATGCGAGCGCCTTTTTTTTTCTGAGCCGAACCAAAGGAAATCATATACTGTTTCTGATTCATTTGTTTGTGCGTCTTTTTTCTCTCGCGTTTTATAAGGTGAAGGTGACTTAAGTACGCTAGTAATAAACAAGAAAAAGGCAATGGTGAGCGATGAATGCCTGGAGCAAGCTGACGAATGCTACAACTTCGGAAGCAACTCAAATCGTCGCCGTAACAAATCGTCGAGAAGTCAACAGACGACAAAGAACGTTGCCGATCGGCCCGTAAGCGAAGTATCTGTACCGTCCGTGTTGCGTGACAGGACTTCAGAGCAATCGGATGGCGTTACTAAGAAAAACGTGACAGATGATGACAGTACTGCGTGGAGTCAGAATCAGCAGAAACAGTTGGAGATTGCGTTACAGCAGTTTCCGAAGACTGTGGCAGATAGATGGACTTGTATAGCTCAGGCTGTGCCTGACAAGACTAAGGTGAGGAAGTAGAACTTGACGTCTTCTTCAAAACCAAAATCAATGCATTCTCAACGGCCAATCACAACAAAGGTGGAGATAACGATGAGCCAATCAGAACTCAAAGTAGAAACCAGCAAATTGTCTCGATTGGTTTTAGACTTCGAGTAGTCCCTCCTTTTCGGCGTAATCCGTCGCTCGAGTCAAAAAAAGCAGTGAAAAAGAATTGATGTCGGCACGCCACGGAGAGCTCCAGGAGTGACGTCGCTCGAAAAGTAAGGACCGCGGACTATTTTACAAGAGCCTCGCTCATGGAGCTCCTGCGGCGCATCGACATCACTCCTAGAGCTCCCCGCGGCGCCATAACATTGAGTTTCTTGACTCGCGCGACAGACTACGCTGAAGAGGAGGGACTGCTCGTAATCAAGATTGGTTTTAGATTTGTTCTCGGTTGATCGAGAGAGTGGTGCAAGGTTTCAAGACCGATCAAAGAGCGAATCAAAAGAAAAATCGTAGTAGTCCGAACGATAGCTAGCAGGCCATCATTATTAGCGTTGCAGACTGCGCGGTTCTCCGCCCGCGGGAAGGTTGGAGGCGAGTCAGGGGAAGGTTTTCGGGAGTGGTAACACTAATAACGTCATATAATCAAAAGAAAAATTGTTGCTTACCGTTCACAATAGATGTACTGGTTTTCAAAGAGGGTCAAAAGCATACTGTATTTCCTCCAATAAGCGCCCACCCACTTAGGCAAATACATCAAGCAAGCACCCGCCCCCCCCCCCACCTCCCCTCGAAAAGGCGCCCTAGGCGAGGAAATAATCTATTTATTGCACACACAAAAATTATTTTATCAAAATTGAACTTTTTCAATGTCAGCTCAACTTTTCTTTCTGTTTTATTTTACACAGCTTGACACATCTAATACCCTTTTTTTGCAGGAAGAATGTATTTTGCGGTACAAATTTCTCGTGGAATGTGTTCGGAAAAAAAAGCTGGCCGGGCAGCAACAGTAAATGGAAATAACTCTTTCAAATTGTGAAATTATTTTTTTTCCATTAACTTATCAAAATTTGTAAAGAGAATTCATTAAAATAGATCACTATTCAATTGGTAATTGAAACCATAACCATGAAAAAAATCGTATTTCTTCTGTCTTGTTATGTAGGATAAAATCTGGTTGTCTCGTGGTAGTTCTTTTGGATGTCACGCAATGCTCTTATTGCATGTTATCTCAAAGAACGCCCTAGAATAAGACCTACATTCTGGTGAGGCTTAGACAATCCTAATCATTCTTCTTGTACGATAAATCAGAATAATTCTGCTACTTAATGAGTAAAAAAATGACAGAATTGAGACTAACGTTAAAGACCAGCGGGCACAAAAAAGGCCAAATGCACAGGCTACTAATTGATAAAATGCAACAGAAGATCAGGGGCTTTTATTCACAACCGGCAGAATTTGCTATTTTGTTTTGCCAATATAAGCAAGTCTGTAACGCCTTTCGTTCGTCCAACAAGTTATTGAATAAATTCGTTCTTAACTTGTAAAATATCCATGTTGCGCGAGAAATTGACTGAAAATTCTAACCATGCACAGGCTCTTTAGACGGCCAATCTCGCATCCTTTACAATCATTTTTCGTCGAGCTGTCTGATAATATTCTTTAATTTCTTGGCAGTTCTTAACAAGAAGATTATTTTTGAGAAAGATGTTTTTCGTCTTCTCATTAGCGTAGGACAAAGAAAATATTCTGAGTCCTTACGAGGAATCAAATCTTAGGCCGTCAGATTCCGCGCTTCGATGCCCTACTACTGAGCCAAAGAGACTCTACGGTGTGCGAAGTCCATCACGGAGTTCATATGACAAGCGTCCTGCATACTACTAGGATCAGCAATGTCGATAGCATCATAGAATTGGAGAGGTGGTAAAGAATTACAGAAAGATGTCTTTCGTCTTGTCATGAGCGTGGGTCGTGAGGAATCGAACCCCAGACCTTCTGATTCCGCGCTCCGATGCTCTACCACTCAGCCGCTTTTTACCGAGCTTAAAAACTTAGCATCTCTCTTATTCTAGGATTATTTTTCCGTCTCAAGTTTGTGATGAACTAAATTTTGTAAAGCGTCACAAATTGCTCTTCGGGCCTAAAATCAATCAATTATTTGTGTTAGTGATCTACGTAACAGCAATTGCACTGTAAAGATGAAGGAATCAATTGATACCTAATAAACAACAAGCAATCCCTCCTTTTCGACGAAGTCTGTTCAGCGTGTCATAAAAAATAAGTAAACAAAAAATGTTTTTGTAAGCGCGCGCGGAACTTTGAACGTGAGGCACAAGAGAAGTAGTTTTACGTGGGCTTTACGCCCTGGGTTCTGCGCGGCGCACTGACATCAATTTTTTTTTCTTTCACTTATTTTTTTTTCGAAAGGCGCGACAGACGTCGTCGAGAAGTACAGACTCTTCTCTTATTCGAGGTACCTAGCATGGCTTATCCATTTTTCAAATGAACACGAATGGCCACGACTAATAATCGTCGAGGGTAATCTACGCTTCCTTAAGAGGAATTTACAGTGATTTACAGTTAATCCATCCTGAGAACGTCCAACAGTTTAGGATAATAAATTGTTTGGTTAGATCTAAGTCAAATCCAATTAGAGTTCAAAGCTTTACTTGGGTATTTGTACCGAAGACCAGATGCACCTTTTTTTTCGATGTGTGGAGCAAAGCAGCACATGCAGGTGGTCCAACCGAAACAATGGCAGAGAGTGGGTAGGACTTGTTAAGTGGGAGGAGGGGGTGTTTCATCAATTAGTGTTATTGTTATTCAACCGGAACTCGACAACAAACAGCGGAATCACCGGCAGTAACCACTTCCCCCCTCCCTCTCTTATCCTCTCTTAGCTACACAGTTCTGAAAGGAGATCTCGATAGAGATGTATGTTGAATTCATTTCACGAGGGAAATCAGTGAGAGAAACCCGGCAAACAAAATTGCTTACCACCAAGAGATTGATTTTTTTTCTTTTAATCCTATTGCTCTTCACATAGCACAGGACATGTAAAAATCCTCGAACAGTCGACATCTCGATCCAGCATTTGATGATTCGAGACATTCAGGTTGAGGGGTCAGTTTATTTGGCCAGTGTGTCTGGTTTCAAACCCCTACACCCTTAAGCCAACCTCCTCAACTTTAACTAAGACATGGACTACAACCAAGAAAATATTTATGATCTCTTGCTACAACTAGAGCCCAGTAACCCACCAGTATTTAGTTCTCCTCCGTCCAAATGTGCTCAGCGGGATAGTGGGGCTGCCTGATCTCTGATCAGAGAAAGACTGAGCTCTTTCGTGAAACTTTTAGGACGTGTGATTACACAAATAAGCAGTTGGTCATTGCTAAGGTCAAATACCCTTATTCTTACCTTTTTTTTTTGTATGACCTTGGAAATCTTTGTGAATGTAAAATTGCGACACTGGAATTATCTGTCTTTAGCACCACCAGATAAGTCGTTTTTATTCAGATCCAATAATCTCGTGCTTGCAGCTTAATTTCATACCATAACAGTGCCACGTGTCACGTAAGCTGAGAATTATGCGGCGGTATATTCATTTTACCTGGCTGAACAGAGATAGAACTTTAAACGGAGAAAGATATTTCAAGATTTGAAGGGTGGAAAGTGGAGTACAAAGAGCATTCTATTTACGTCTATTTCCTGATGGAACGTTTGATCAGGTGATAATGTTGATCGGCCGACTTGTCCCCCGTGGCGAAACAAAATAAAGCGGTTGTAATCATAAACGATCGTTTTGATGTGGGATTTTTTGGCGCACACGCAACTAATTGAAGTCACGAAGGTGTTAGTTTTCCTGCTGTGCACAATGCGACATAAAGAATCTCTGTAACTTGGTTAATTCTTCAAAAATCTTGATGGTGGTGTTGCATTTCGATTGCAGGAGTTAGATGGGTCGCACCCTAAGAGAATCTCATTCTGGATAAATATACCTCAGACTTCGTCTGAACATTCTTTGATCAATAAAAGTCTCCTGGTAATTTCAATTTTGACGGTAGCCGGTTAGATAGCCTATTAGAAAAATCCATTAGAGATGAAAGAAGAATTCTTTCTTCGTATGAAGTGAGAGTATGCGCATTGTGTGCAATCCAGCAGGGCTTAGCCCCTGGAACTTTCTTAGCGCTTGATAGTATTGTAGATAATATCTTAAGTGTTGTACGTCTGTTGACAAAGCGGATTTGGGAAAACATTTTGCTTCGGCGTCGTAAATCTGAACAACCTCTGCCCTAGTTGTCTTGAAACATACCTTGACAAATCGCAAGTATTTCTATTCAGTAAAACATCTGTCCTGTGCATGTCGAAAAACTAGAACCTTATGTGGTTTCCCTTGTAGGGGTTCGGTTATACGATGGCAGTATGTTACTACAGTAGACGCTCATAACACGCTAATCTATGACAATCAAATTGTCTGTAAAACTTCTCACTGGCTCTGTTTGACAAGCAACTTGAAGATGTTTTTATTACACCAAATAAATGCAAGATTACTTATCTAGGGAATGTTGGTTTTAGAGCTTTTTTTTTGCATGATTCTGTCTCAGCTGGGGATGTTGATCACGCGAGGGGAGATAAACAACGCTGCCATGTCTTACTCGTTTGTATGTTATTGACAAAATTCTTGTTTGAGCTTAAGGAATCATTTTTTGAAGTCACGGTGTTTTTTCGTTGAAGCGCTGTGAATTCGAAGCAGCGCCCCATTAAATATCCTGGCTTATTTGCTGATCTCGTATCTCATCTTTTTAATGTCCAGTTTCCCTTAAATCTATCAATACATAAAACGTGACCAAAAAATGAACGAAGTGCCTGTATTTCTAACCATATCTGTTATTGCCTTCTGTCAGATGTTCAACAACCCTCCTAATTCAGTGCCCAAACTCAACATTAACCATCTCTCTTAGAGGCCGGTTCGACACTGCTGATCCAATTAAAATACAGGGCAGTTCCAACATATGAAAGAACAGTATGACCTAATTATGCGTGGCTTGCCAAAGAATCGGTAGATCTCAAGGTAAAGCATCCGATCATGAACTCGATTGGAAGGCCTGGGTCTCGACTAAGATTTCTTTCTTTGTCCCACGTTTGTCTCACAAATGTTTCAGATCTTTCTCCATATCACAGTTTCTGGGTAAATTTTGTTTGCACTATTTTTGGCAGTATGGAGCCTCATGTGACCCTGTTGACAGCAATAAAGAAAAATCACCTCCAAAGTGAAAAGAGATCTCTTCCTAAAGAAAAATCAATTAATTAACACAGATGGAGTCCATTGACGGCTCTCACATCTGGCTACCTTTTGTCGGTAGAAAATGTTCGAGAAGGCTAGAAAAGAAAAAAATTGAGGTATTTATTCCAACAAGGGAGGATCTTTATTACTTTGAAGTTAAAACCATTTTTCTAACATAAGAAACATAGACGAATATCGTTCTTTCTAAGCTAAGGTGTAGTCTGTACGTTGTGTACATTAGTCGAACAAAGCCTTTGTTCTTACTTTTTAAGGAAAAAAGGAAAGCAGGAACGACCGATGCTTGAGGACATTTAGGCTCTGTACAATAGGTGCAAGAGAAAGGTAAGGACCTGGGCAAAAACAAATTCAGTAAACTTCCGAACAAAAGCGAGAACTTTGAGTTGAAGAAAGGAAAACCTACAACATGACTGACTTTCGCGCATGAGTGGTAGGTTCGATTAGCAGTGTCTTGGCGGTCAGTGACGTTCAGGAAAGAGATAAAATGAGGTTGTTAAGTCTGTGATATGATCAGGCTCTCCACAAAGCACGCACAGAGTATAGAAAGTAAATACGAGGGAGTATTGATTACATGACCCCTTTCGATACACGATGACAGCTTGAGTTATATATATACACATGCACGGTATACGATTCACGCATTTGAATTTACCAGTGTGCACCGTTCTCCAGTTTGCGGCAGAATGGGGAAAGACCTCGCCATGATTCATACATCCTACAAAACGTGGTTGTGCAATGCTGCGCTGTTTGCTTTGATCTGTGCTGCATTTGGGGCAGGAGTACTTTTGGGTCCTATTGTTACCGCTCGTGGAAAGGACGAATTGACGAGGAACTTACATTGCAGCCCGGACGGAGATAAAGCATCGCAGTTCGCAAGCAATCCTCAAAGACGTTTGAAATCTGAATGCATTTCTCGAGGGCAACTAAAAGACTTTATGAAGCAATGGAGTCGTACCTTAGGTGATTTGATCGAGGGGAAAATGCTGAACGCCACCAAGAGGAAACTAAATCATGCAATCCGGAAATTCTCTAAAAATAAGGATGTCCAAACGCAGAGAACAATGGAAGGTAAGATTAAGTTTTGTTTTTTTTAAATTGCTAATTTCTCTCACATAACCTTGTATAAAGCCAAGGAGTAGCATTTGGCGAATTATGATGCTATGAGCAAGTATGTGGTAAGGAATAAAAACATAGCGCCTCTTGTTAATTTTTGCAAGAAAGGGGTGTATTTTGTGATTGATTCAAAAAGAAAAAAACCGAAAATTCTCTTCTTAGTACCAGATTTAATCGAAGTTAAGCTTCCAACCTTTAGAATTTTACTTGTCAACGAGCCTCTAATGTTAATCTTCTTCCGATACTTTTAAATTTCATCGGATCGCAATAAAAGACGCACACACAAAAAAGCATCAACAACTACATGAGACTTGTTGAGATACAGTCCAAGTTAAGTAATGAAAATTACCTCAGAATCACTCAAAAGGCTTAATCATTCGTGTTTTCGAATGTGAAGTTATTTGCTGTTAAGAGTATCATCGGCAGTAGATTAAAAACTAATAGCTACATGGTTAATTTTGCCACACACTAACGTTACGACGTCTCGACTAAACTTTAATCAGCTTTTAGCAACAATAAGGTAATAAAACAGACCACATCGACTTTAGCTGGACAGCCAACACAACAAACTGTTACAAATAGAAATGACTCAAACAACAGATTCTCCGATTTGCTTTTCAAGAAGTTACGAAAATTTTTCACGAGCTCGGGGCTAAAACATGTTTTTTCATTAAAATGTTTCCGTTTGGCTTTCACGAGTTTTTAACGCCCGCAATACAACTTCATTCATCATTTAAGAACCATTACAATGGGAATCGAATGCGGTTTCACAAAATTGATGCGGTTTCATAAATTGATTAGAGCGGTGAGTTTCCATCAGGTTGTGAAACATCCGAGAATTCAAAAATCACCCCATGCTGAAACACAAGTAGTGGAAATCAATATGCCAAAAAGTGTGTTTTGCCTCCCATGCAGTGTCGCGGGACATTGATATTCTCTCAGTCTCAATTGCTCAGCTAATTTTTCTCTTATCTCTAATAGATACCCCAAGCAGAATATTAATTTCATGCGATTATCGAGTCACGTCTATTCGATAAACCCAGGAGGGTTCTATAATCTTGATATTTGCCTTGCGTGCTTGAGTTAAAGACTGTCACGAATTCCTGAGAACACGGACATTCTTTCCTCTCGGGACCTCTCTCCGAACACGGTTATCCTGATTGATATCTCGAGCGACTTAAGCGAGCAGTGTGCTTCATTTTGTTTTCTCCCGACACAAGAATTTTTTTGCTAGTATCTCGGCATGTCATAGCCGTCACCCGCTGTATTAGTTTTGCTCTCTGCCAGTGTAGAGATTCAATGTTTTCCTTGACCTACCACCCTGTGATCAAACGACCGATGCTGTCTTTTGGTTCGTGTTGGTTTTGCATATTTCTCCTTATTTTAGAGAGGTCTAACTTAGATTATTCCTTAAACACTTTGCAGTATTTCGTGCTTTGAAATATATTCAAGAATGCGGTTTAAATCATAAAAATCTGAGATCCGGCGATAAGGATAGCTGTTCCCGCGCCATAATGTTGTGGCACGTGGGTTTTGCTTTTGTTCCGCGATTGTGCATTAAAAAAAATCCATTAAAAATATTTGCTCCTCTTGAAAGATGTGGCAATTAAAACTACTCTTGAAACACGAAGGAAACAAGTTTCGCCCCTTCACTCTGTCAGAAAGCAGACGCAGCTTTTTATCAGCCGTTTATCGCGTGTTCGATGTCAGAGTTCAATGAGCTATCGCGTACTGCTGTTTATAGCCTGTCAAGACACCGTGCACCGAAACGCGGATAGACACGCAAACCGAACACAGTAGTTACACCCGCCGCGTCTGAGTGAGGGGGTAATAAACATAATACTGGATAAAAATCCAAGAGTTAAACTAGCAATCCTCAGCCTTTAATTCACAAGAGCAAAACGAAAATTTCTACCTGCTTTCTGAGTCGATTTATACTAAGCCAACTGTCATTGCCAATCAATTTGCACTAGGTAGTTTATTTGGAGAGTTTTCAGTTTGCATTCAGGGCCCTGGCTATCAAAGAAGCTCGCCAATGAACCCTCAGGCGCAAAATATACTTCTCTAGTCACATATACCCCTGACTCGCTGCCAAAATTCCTCTCTCTACAGTCTTCCATTCTCTTAAAGGAGAAAAACACACGTAACAAAAACAAAAGGAGAAGTGGATGTCGATTGACGATTATTGCCGAAGAATCTCGAAAGACATATTTAAATTGAACCAAAAACCTTTGGAAAGTTTATGCCTTAAAGCGCGTATTTGTGTATTCCTTTAACCTTGTTTCCATTAGGATCTCTAGCACTGAAAAATTCTTTACATTTCTCCTCCTTTGTCTTCACCTGATGGAGGTGTCGTAAGAAGTTAAGGGAAATCTGGAGTCCCTCACAATTCCACTCAATTGCAGCTCTATCTTGGCTGACCGGGTGACCTCAACTCCCCATTTGCGCTTTGTTAACAGCCGACAATTTTGCCTCCATTCAGTCAGGATGAATACAATTTTGTCTTATTCACGATGTTGATTGAGGATATGTATTAACAGCGACGCCAAATTGGATAGAGGTGCTAAGTATATCAACACTTAGATAAAGGGCTTTATTTGTTTTAATGGGCTTTTTTTTCGGTAGCGTTGATAAACAACATGCTAGCCAACTGGACTTCTCAACTGCTACAGCAAAACAACGTGCTTATGCCTTCGGAGAAGCCAGTGACAGCTCGCTCGCCAGAAACCAAAGGGTCCACAGAGAGGAAGACTGTTAAATCGACTACTAAACCAGACCTAGAAGTGATCGAAGTGGACTTTGTTGAGCCCACGTCACAAGGTAACACGAATGAACGGTTTGTGTGTTCAGGTTCTACATGTATATATATGGTTCAGCAAAGTGTCACCTCAAAAGAACCGACTTCTAGCAACCTCTCACTTGACTCGAATGTTGAACTATTATTACTGACCATTAACGATCAGTTAACTTAATCTGTAGCCTTCGAGGATGGCTCTTTTGTAGACGTTTTAAGCGGCGAAGTTGCTCAATATGAATGAATGAGACAAAAATCGCGACATCCCTTCTCGCTTAGAATCAATATCGCCCTCATTCATCAGTATTCATCGAGTGCTTAGAAAACCGCTTGCGATCGACTGGAAAAACTTATTTGCTGTATGCTATTGATAACCTCCAGTCCTCTCTTTATTCATTCTCTTATTTGAATCTTGTTTGTTAGATACGTCCGTCAGTATACCCGTTCCCATTGCCCTCTACCCCCTCAATGGCAAATACAAAACTTGGGACGTCAGCGGACGGAGCAATCCCAACGGTAATGCGCACGGGGTTCGACTCGCCCCAGGACCAGACGGAAATCCTCAAGGCTCGTACCAGTTTTCTGGGAAGAGCAGCAGCTTCATTGCATTTCCAAACAAAGGTGCACTGACTGCGAAGTATTCCATAACTCTTCTTGCCTGGGTTAATGTCGAGTCTAAAGGTGGACCTATATTTAACTACAATCCGAAGGGGTGGGGTGTTAGTTTGTGGGTCAACTCAAAACTTTTCCTCGCCGCTAAATTTATTGAGGACGACAGCGCTTGCAGGACGTGTTTGGTTAGCGCGCTGCCGTTAAAAGAAAACGTGTGGAGTTATGTGGGGATGTCTTACGACCGTACCAGTGGCATTGCCAAGCTCTTGGTGAATGGACGTGTGAGTAGTAAGAGAAATATTGGAACAACGATTGGTGATCTCTCAACATCATGGAATGTGAGGATGGGCGCTCGCGCTACGAAGGACGGGAACTATTTTAAAGGTCGGATATCCCGGATGCAAGTCTACGACAGGGCACTGACTCAACGTGAAGTCGAGGTTGTTTCAAGTACTCTCACAGGTGAATTTCATCACTTTCGTCCAACTGTTTTAAGTCTACGGTTTGTCTATCAGCACTCGTCCAAGTGGGTTTAGTGTGTCTGCAGCTGTCTTTCTGCCTCAGTCAGTCTGTCTGTCTCTATTTGTTTACCTCTGTGTCTATCTATTAGTTAAGGGTCTTTCTGGGGTTAATCTTTAGCCGTGAAACGACTAAAATCATAGTCGTCAGGCGTAAAAATTGACATGCAGATTTAAACCATTAGAAGTAAAAAAGGTAAACTGTAAAAAAGATTTATTTAAATCAAAACGGAAAGAAATTAATCGTTAGCCATAAAATGGCCAAAATTTTGGTGTAGGCGCATTCTTCGTTATTCCTTTTTTTGAGTTGAAAGAGAAACGAAAGAAAAGAAATTGAGTCGCTCCTGGTGAAAATTTCCGACTCATATGCTGCATGATTGCTTATCTTTCGATTGGCATGAATATCTATCTTATTTATACTGACTTCCTCGGTGAATAATCAGATCTACCAACAGGGTCGTTAAAAGCAGGTTCTTGCTCAGACTGACTCACCTAATGACATAAATCTTATTTTCTGTCCTACAGCTGGTATATGCCCACAAGGATGGACGGGATTTCACTCATCGTGTTATTTGTTGTTCAACCGGTTGACAAACCAGTGGAATCACGCTAGACAGGTTTGTCGGGAGCACGGAGGAGACCTGGTCAAGATCGAATCTCCAGAAGAAAACCATTTCGTTTACACACTGGCATATTCCAAAGCTGCCGATAAAAAGTATGTAAAGCCTTTTATTTCAAAATTCATCTAGAACTGTGACATTAATAACGATGTGAATGATCATTATCGGATGTGTTTGTACAGGGAAGCCAAGTTCATCCTCCGTCAAAGTTTCGGTTTGTGCAACTCACATAGTGGCGAACATAGCTTGGTTTACGAGTTGAAATTTCCTAAGTAAGTCCGAAACTCAAATTGGTGAACCGCGCTGAATTTCTCATAAGGCAAAGTCCGTCTATCTTACTTAAACTGTTTTCATATGACGAGGTTATGGGAGAAAGCATATTCACGAATTAATTTTCTCGTTGTCTCAAGGTACATGTGGATAGGCTTGCTGCGCGGCTCGTCGAGCGAGCAGTTTGCCTGGGTACACACATCTCCTCCAATCCTGTATTCCAATTGGGCAATTGAGGAACCGAACAACCTTCATGGACGAGGCGAAAACTGCGGCCATATTTACATCTGGAAGGGCGATAAGGCCATGCAGTGGAATGACGAACTCTGTGTCAACCCGACAATTGGTCCAATGATTTTCATGTGCGAGATGAAACCATTGGATCTCGAGCTCAAACCGATTAACTCTGGAAATTCAGTCATCGAGGGAGGCTCCGGTGAAGGGGAGTCTGGGTCGGGAGAGTCCGCGAGCGGATGGGCCAGTGGAGATGTCAACACCTTCCCGTCCAGACTGGACTAAGTCGCGATAAAGTAAATTACAACGTAGATCGTGGAAATAAACATCGCGCTATGGAATGTATATAATCAATTGCTTTTAGAGAAACAATGCTAAGTTTATTTGCTCAGCGTAGCGACTGAGAAACCACAGTCATTTTCTTAATTTTTAAAGACAATGTACGCGGAATGCATTAGTCATATCATTTATCTCGACGTGCCATATTTTTCCATACTATTTATGAATAATCTCTCGAGGTGCTGAATTATTTGAGGTCGTTCACGTCACACGACGAAGTATGTTTACGCGAACCGACAATATGAGATACCATCAGCACTGGTTGTAAGGCAGAGAAAAACGGACGGAATCATAGAAGCCCTAGGTGCAGGTGTAGCAAACAAAGTGCAGAATGTCTTTGCATCTTACAGGAATTTTAAAAGGATATACATAAAATAGATACAGGACCGACCAAAATACACGGTTACTCGAAGTTCGTTTGTTTAACCAGAAAGACACGGTATTTTAATTGGCTTTGTAATCAGTAATTTTAAAAAAATATGTAAATTGCATTCTTCTTCATTCTTCTGGTCCCATAACACTTTTTTCACCACCGATTGGAAAAATAGTGATACAAGGCAATCCATATATCTTTAATAAGTTGTCTACAGTCGGGAAACCTGCTTGCATGGTAGATAAGGCAGTCTTAAATTGAGTATCGAAAGCGATTCTGGATAGCTTTGTTCTATGATTGGTCGGTGCCACCATCTCAACCAATCAAATGCAACACTAAAACTAGTCCCAACTTGGTCACTCGTGTTTTCCCGCGTTTTAAGCAGGTTGCCTGTTTTTACTTTGAGTTCTCATTGGTTAACGATGATGTCAACCTTTGCTCTGATTGGTCTTTTGGTTTATCGACACTCAATTCAAAACTTCTCTCACAGTAAAACTATTCATCCTTTTAGCCAGGGTATATATCCAAGTGTTTTCCTTAAAGACGAATCCATTCACATTGTACAGCGATATCACGTCCTCAAGAAGGAGTTGTGTCACTTGTACTGCTTCTCATTCTTTCCGTTTCGTACGAGCCGCCTTCTTCGTCAATATAGTTTCATTCAAATAAGAATCTGGAAATGAGATTTCCGATGTGTAGACGAGGCAATGAAAGCGCTTTGTTCTTACATTCTGACTTGCTGCACATCATCCTACATCACGGCTTCGTTTTTCTCTTCTCCTGGTAAGACAAAGAAAACAAATCACTTGAATTCACTTCGCTGAAATGTCTCTGTGTTCGTTAACATCAAGGACGTAGCAAGGGGGGCGGGGGATCGATAGGTGTAGCCGGGAGACACCTTGGGTGGAGGCTCCCGTACTATCGTCCTCGAGCATAACACGACAAAAGGGGGATAAAACACAAAGAAACAAGCATGATAACGCATGTAGATCTCAACAGATTGGAAGTTAAAAACTTGAAAAGATTAGTACTAAGTCCCTCGCGATGCAAAAAATCGTCAGATAGCACGTTTAGCACTCCTAAGAAAAAGACATGACTTAAAGGAAGAAATTTTAAGAGGACAAAGAGGACTGCGGTCCAGTATCTCGCAGTTTTTTCGGGTATGAAAATAACGACAGTAGAGATGCTGAACGTTCCAGGGGGGAGACACAAAACCGCTAGCTACGCAGGCTAAATGAACTGCATTTCTTCTCAGGATAATTTTGCTTAACTTACTCAATATAAAACAAATCTACAAAGTCACATGCACTCAGGCACCAAGTTGTTTTCCCCGTAATGAATTGTTTTTGCTTCACTATTCTCGTTCACTGCTCCTTTCGACTGGTTATAGTCCAAACCTAAAACATCACTCCGCGCCAATCGCACTGTGGTGTCGTGTAGTGAGTTTTCTTGTCTCTAATCACATCGCTCGAAATGCTACCTGGCTATGATACATCTTTAAATATTTAAGTAACACCAGAATTCTTATAGAAAGATTTTTTTCGGCTTGTCACGAGCGTGGGACAAAGAAAAAATTCTGAGTACCTATGAGGAACCACAGACCTTCAGATTCCGCGCTACGATGCTGTACCAATGAGCCACAGAGACTCTACGGTGAGCGAGGTCTATTACGAAGTTCGTATGACACGCGTCCTGCATACTGCTAGGATCAGCAATGTCGATAGCGTCATGTTTGTATATAAGATAAGAGTGATGGTAAGTTTTGAGCCCGGTAAAGATATTAGATACATCTGCACATGGACGGTCGGCAAGCCAACTCGTGTAAGTGTGTTTATATCTCAGTGAAGTGAAGGTTGTGATCATGTTATGAGTATCTAAGTCTTACCACTTGAAACGCTAGGAGTGATCAGCGTGTAATTTCTCCCCTACAATATCAACCCTGTATTACGGTCACAAGAAAAAAGGAGATGATTACCAATTACAGAGGCTCTTGATTTTAGAAAAATTCTCGTTGTCCTTAGGAAATGTATGGAGAATATTATAGAAAATTTGCAAATTGATGCTAAAATGTTAAGGCTTAAAAAAGAAACCTAAGATGTGAAAACCCTCAAAATTGTTTTAAGGCTTTTACCTAAAAAAAAAAACTTTACCAGTAAAACAGACCAATAAAATTTATTTTGCCATGTTTCACAAATGATACCTCTGTAAACGTAAGTCACGTATTAGCAAATAATGTTTTAAGATAACTCTGCTGTGTACAACACGTAAAACACCTTTTTGACGTTAGTTTTTGCACCTAGACATTAACCTTCTTGTGAACTACGAAAACGTTACCTTCTGAAAACCACAATTTTACAACGAGAGAGTAGGACGCGGCTAACATGTTTTTTATCACCAGATTAATATGTTTATAACCTACAAACGGCCTGTAATTTTACCTTGGTCAACGTAAAACATGAAGAAACGAAGCAAGCCATACCCACAAGGCCAATGTACCAAGTTGCTTCCTCTCTTCTTGCTCAACAAACTTCAAAACAGTGAAAATAATTTATCTACATTTTGGATACCAAATCCCTTTTAGGAACTCAACTAAAGAATTTCATCAAAAACTTAAACAGTAAAACACTGAAAAATTTCCAGCATTCTTGTATAAACCTATGAGTGGAAACACCATATCTCGTATGTTTTGTGACTTGAGATAAATTGAAATTGTTAGATTAGTACCTAAAACACACAATATCTTTGTTAACCCTTTAACTCCCATGAGTGACCAAGACAGAATTTCTTCTTACAATATCAATACAATATCAACCAGATAAGAGATGAGGAATAAAGAAAAATATCAACTTGGGGATAATTAAATGATCCAATATTAAATTCTCTGAACTAACATTATATGAATTTTATGGTTGACAATAAGGAGAATTACAAATTTGATCTGGGAGTTAAAGGGTTAATTTATTCTCAGAACTCTTAATAATTTTGAAGACGAGATAAAATGAATCATAAAAAATGAAATGACTAAGGAAAAACCAATTAAGTACTTGATGACACAAATCTTGAATGCAAAGAAATTTTCTTTGTGTAACTTTAACAAGACCGTTTGCCTTACTAAGCATCCTAGAGGTATACAACTTAAGAAACTTAAGAAGTAATGTTCATTGCAAGGACATATTAGTGACCCTTATAAGGTAAATGCTGATAAAAAACATTCCTTAAAAGAAATGAAAAGAGTCTCACTGAAAAGATTCTGTGGACAGACTTTCTGTAGGGTCAGTTAGGGAAAAAACCCAACACATGCACATGAATGCAACTCAAAACCCACTGAAACAGTGGAAACTGTTACCGCTCATGAACAAATCTGAACCATTACCAGGCCACCAAGTTCCTAGTTTATGACTGAAGACAGATCTGTCTTAACCCTCTAACCACTGAGAGTGACTAACATCTAAACTTTAAGATCGCAAGAACTAAGAATGATCTCTGACTAAAGAATCTACTGATCGTTAAACAAAGTCTCATTCTCAGTACCACAGGAAATGTAAAGAGAACAGTATGGAGAATGTGCATACTGATGTTAAGGTGTAAAGAGTTAAAGTCTTAAACAGAGACTTCAAAGTTTTTTTAGTTCTCTTAGATTTGTAACTATGCTACCTTAACTGGTCTTTGGATTTTCTTTACACTTCATATGCAACTTTAATTCCAAACTACCTTCCTACCAGTATAACATTACACAAACAGTTCCACAACTTTGGTTGATGTAGAGTCTTGCCGTCATTGTTCTGTGAAATACAGTCCCCAAGAACCATATCTTTCTTGATGCAGTCTGTATGTCCCATGTCTCCCGTGAAGTTCAGTCCATAAGTTCCAAATAACATGTGATATATAGTCAAGTTCCCTGTAATCCAGTTCTTCATGTCTGTAAAACCAGTCCATCAAGTCCAGTGTCTTTCCCATTGTCAAACAAAGCAATTCCAGTGGCAGTGGAGCATGTGTGCTTGAAAATGAGGAAAAGCTTGCTATCTGTGCTCAATGTTGTTTTAACTCAGTTCTACAAGTTGATTGCCACATGACATAAACCAAAAGGGGTGTCTTGCATAGGAAATAAACATGAAGAAACAGGTTCTACATTACCTTTGATACCTTAGTCTGTGAGGATGAAAATGCTAGTTGTGTAATTCTGCTGTTCTAACATCATGTGCGAGGTCGTTTTCTGGACGCTTCTGACTTGGGTGGATCAGCATGCATCACCTTCAACTTCATACCAAGAACTTCATGGCCATGCATTCCTTCAATGGCTGCATCTGCAGACTCCTTGCTTGCAAACTTGGCATAACCAAAGTTACGATCTTTCATCATCCACACATCAATCAGGTTCCCAAACCTGCTGAAGACATCCTTAAGGGCACTTTCTGGTGGTGGGGCTGGTTGACAAACAATAAACAGTCTTGAAACAACCTCAGAGGTTGGATCTGCCAAAGGAGATGGTGCTGGAAGAGCTGCTGAAGTGTAGACAGCAGTAGAGTAGTCCACTGCATATGAGCCACCAGTGAGAGATGATTTAGAGCCGTGTGACTGAATCTGAAAAGCTGTGTCACTACCCTGCCCTGTACCATTACTACGCATTCCAGGAGGATCTTCCGCATATTTTACCACAAGCTTTGAGCCCAATGGGTATTCAAACCCATTGAGTTTTTCCTTAGCATAGATTGCAGATCCTACAGAGTTGTATGTGACATAAGCAAAGCCCTTGGATTCTCCAGTGCCATAATTCCGCTTCAAATCACACATCTGCATACCAGGAATGATGTCAAACAAGCGCGATAATTGCTCTGCCCCTATCATAGGGGACACTTTAACAAACAGCCTGGTGGGGGTATGTGACGTTGTAATAGACTCTGCAACTGCTGCTACAGGGTTTTGAGTTCCATAGTAATCTGCAACTCCCTGAAGCGATGCAGCATTATTCACATTCATGCTGACTGTATGGCTGCTGACTGGTGCTGCCGCAGCCTGAGGGTAATTATTTACCTCTAGAAATGGATTGTGTGGAATTAATGTAGATTGCATGGCTGCTGCTGCAGCTGCTGCATTTCTGGCAATTTTAGCTGATTTGGGCTCAGCCCATACAGCTTTAAGAGTCTTGTCACAGTTCTCAAGTGCAACAGCTGCTGCAGATGACTTCCTGAACTTAACATATCCAAAACCTTTGTTTTCACCAGTTTTATGGTCACGTACAATTTGGACATACTCTATCTCCCCAAAGTCCTGGAATTTTTGACGTAAGTTATCCTCTGTGTACTCTTTTGGACAGATGATGAATAAACGGGTCAGTGCTGTTTCATCATGAAAATCTGTTTTAGAGCCTGAACCTTTAGACTGGGCAATCATCGCCTAAAAACAAAATAATCAAAAATGTTCTTATTAGGCGAGAAGCAAGAAAGGTTGCATTCTAGAGATCTACAGTGCCAGCTTCTTTGCATAAGTGACAGATTAGCCCTTTCACTCCCAAGATCTAATTAGTAATTCTCCTTACTATCTGCCATACAACTCTTATGATGCTAGTTCAGAGAATTTGGTATTGGATCAACTAATAATCCCGTGATTGATATTCTTCTCTATTCTCATTACCTGCCTGCTTGATATTGTATTGATATTGTAAAGAGAAATTCTGTCTTGATCACTTGTGAGAGTGAAAGGGTTAAGATAAAATCTGGGCAAAGCACTCCCAAAAGAATGTGTACCTTTTTAATTAAGTTTACATCTTTTTAAAAACAATTGTAAAACATTTTGGATACATTCATTTGTTTATAAAGGTTCCAATAATTACAATTTTTTTTTCACAATAAACTTTGTTTATTTCCAACCTCAGAAAAGCCCTTTGTGCTTTACTGAGGAATTGTTGACCAAAAGTCCAATCAGCCATCACCATTTTTCCATCCAGCCAATTTTGCAGGCAGCTGGCCCTTAGCAACAAACCCTGATCCCTCATCTCACTCCTAGGGCAGTACCTTAGGCAATGAGCTGTGATAACATCTTATTTCACTCAGGGTATATATCACATCCATAAATAAAAAATCTTTTTTCTGATCTTCAATTCATTTGAAAAAAATATAGCACTGGTAAGTCCTGCAAAAAACCATTGTTTGAGAGGCTAATGGACAATGCCATAAAGAGGTTCACTTAATATTTCAATAAACCAAGAGTTGATAGTACTTAAAAAAAAGAATCACTGGCACTAAGAGAAAAATCAATTTTAATCTTACTGGCATACTGACTAATTACCATTTGAAGAAACTTGATGCAAACCATGTAAATTTGCTTAATGAAGAAATATTGGCTAATGAGAGATATTGTAAGACCCTAAGGTGAAAGACATATTAAAATCCTAAATCTTCAACAGCATTTACACAATCTCCTCTTGTGTTGAAAGAAAGATATAGGATTGAACAAGAAAAAAAGGCTTGTTATTGTACTGTGCACCTACAATTTTGGTACAAGTACACAAAATACTACAAATACAAAATTAGTTTACAAGTTTAGCATTAAAATATTTTCATATACCCGATAGGTTTCAATAATAAACTAATTGTTTGCCATCAAACATACACGAAGGAAACTAATACTAAAAATTCCTCTTCTCACGAGGACATGAAATATAAATAACCACTGTTGGGTGCCATCTGCAAATTCAGTGACATTCATATAATTTCCAAACACCTAATAAGCAATTTTGCTTTTTTCCATGTTAGAAACAAAACCTGGACTTGAAAGAAGCAATTAGTGATATGAACTTAATTGACTCTCATAAAAGCCCAGAAGAAAGTGAAAACCTTTCAAAAGTTGTCTTACTATGGGGAAAAAATGTTCTGTTATGTTTACATAACAACCAACCTTTCCATATAGCACCTTTCAAACAAAAAAACCCAACTTTTCAAAGATTGAAAATATAAAGATTATCTTGAAAGTAAACCTTTTAATTAATGTTACAGACATTTTTGATGCACTCATCAAAATTTCATTTTGAAAATTAAGGAAAAATTAGTTTTAGAAGCTTCACCCTATCAAGATTTTACGTCACTCAAAAACACTAAAGCAAGAACAAGCTATTTCCTATCAATTTTTAACAACTTTCTCTTGGTGAGATGAACAAAGAGCTCTTGGAGTCTGTAGGGGCATTTTGTAAATTTATCCAAAATATAACTCAAGATTGTCCAAACGCAATTAAAGTTTACAGAAGAGATGACGTTTCTGTCTCGCTGAAATCCCTGATAAAGAAGTTTGCGATAAGCATATGATAATATTTGGCCAATTATGAAGTTAATAGGAGATCGTGAAATATTCATGCTTGAAAGGTACATGTTTTTCACTTATCCACGTTGAAACACCCTACAGAGATGTTTAGGGTGACATAAAAAAAACAATACGTGCCAAAACCAATTTTACGGAAGAAAATCTCATCAAACAAAGCAATCGCTAAAGATCTGACCAAATAGATATGTTCTTACATAGATCGGTTTCCTAGCTTATGGCAAAAAAGTGGTCATGTAATATAAATAATTGAAAGCTTTTGAAAGCATTCGATTTAGACAATAACTCTGCTTCCCTTTCTCTGATCCATCCATCACTATTTCTAGCAAGGAAAATATTAGACTGAGTTCTTTATTGTAAAAACCCGAATAAGAAACAGTTTCAGCTATAAATGCATATTATCAACCGTAACACCGAGAAAAACGCTTTGAAAGCTCCCAAAGAACAGGTTTAAGTTCTAGCACATGGCATTTTGTAATTAGTAGTGGGATGTTAGGATGCTTACGATAGAACAAACTTCAATACAAACTTCAACATAAGGGGACAAGAGATGATTTGTTTGAAATCTGAGTCTGTCAAAATCAAAAAGTACCTTAATTGGTTTAGGATCATCTGCAATAATTTTTCCATCCATTTCTTCGCAAGCTCGAGCGGCCGAAGACGCTTTGGCGAACTTTATGTAACACACGCCACGATTTTCTTTCGTCTGTTTGTCCTTCACAACCCAGATATCTTCAATGGTGCCAAATTGTTCGAATGCGGCTCTCATGTCTTCCGACGAGTGCTTCTTACTGCAGACTATGAAAATACGCGAAAAAGGCGGGCTGTCCACGTCTACACGGCTAGAAATTGAGCCCGTATCCATACTTTGTTGGTTACTCACAGCCATCTTGAAAGCTTTGAAAGCAGCAGCCGTAACGCGAACTGCCTCGTGGGAAATGAGCAGTTCCGCGTTTTGGTTCGCCCCAGTTCTCCGAAGTGATTCTTATCCAAGGGGAGGGGAGAGTAAGGGGACAAGCGATTCTCGATAACAGAAAGAAAGTAAGATGGAAAAGTTTCATCCCTGTATTTTAACGAAAAGAATTAAAAGTAAATTTAGATAATTCCGTGTGGCAGCAACGTTAACGGTAACGACAATTTTGATCCCCTCCTCGTCAAATTAGGAATTGAGGGACAAGGAAGTATCAAAAAGGCAATGAATGGACGGGCAATAGTGTAAGCCGAAAATAATTAGACTCGATAACTTATTATTGAATTGATACTTTGTACTACGTTAGTGCTTCAAGGGAAAGTCTAAGAATATTGTAGTGATTCCTTAGCGGTCAGCGCAACTACCATTAACGCAGCCGCACCAAGCACATGTGGAGCCTCGCGCGTCGAGCGCGTCCATTTTAGTTTTGGGAACCAAACTCGAACTCTAACGCGGTTCTTTTGTCTCCCGCATGCCTGATTCGGTGTAGTCCAGGTCAGAAACGCTCCTTACAGGGGTTCCAAATCTTCGAAACTGCTAAACATGGTAAAAGAGATGATAGGTGGTTGTTGCGTTTGTTCGGACGAAAGAGGATGGGATGAGAACCCACTGGTGTACTGTGACGGCCATGGCTGCAATGTTGCCGTTCATCAGGGTAAATACAACTTACCTTTAGAGGATTCATTGCAAGATTTGAATCTTTTTTGATGATTTATGGCTGTGCATTTATTAATCATCAGCATGTTATGGCATCGTGCAAGTTCCTAAAGGACCGTGGTTTTGTCGGAAATGCGAATCGCAGGAAAGAATCGCTCGAGTGGTAAGCTGCTTATATTAGTCTATGAACACTTGACAGCTCCTAAAACAGATGTGGAGCTTTCAGCTGGTATAGAATAGGTTTCCTCTCATTTCCTAACCAAATTTTTGTCTGATTTAGCGCGTAAATTTCTCTCAATAAAACTGTCACGAAGTTCGTGTTTACAAGATAGCGTGACTTGACACGCAGGTTGTAGATTTCATGCTGATCGTTCAGTTTGCACTTGCAGGTTAGCTATCAGGATACGGTCGAAGTACTATTTCATTTTTGCAGGGCCTAACTTTTAGACATTGCAGATTTTAGAGGCGTAACCACTTGGTTTTGAGGAAAAAAATCTTTCATAAGTTTTGTATTTTTTCTGTAATGTACAGAGCACTTGCTAAATGCTAAGAAAGAAATAGGTTTCTCGTCACCTAACATTGTTTTTTTCTATCGTCAAACACTTCTGTAGCTCATTTAAATTTGATTTTTGAAGTCCAATTCATCATTTTTTTCCATTTAGATTGATTGGGGTTTTTTGCTTATTGATAATTTGCACTTAAGAATTAAACTGAAATTTCAAAAGCATCAGAAGATACTGGAAATTGACAAACTGTACATGTGTACGTGAATCTTTTTCTAGGGAATTTTGAAAACTCACAATCTTTAACATGAATCCAAGTCACAACTAACCAATAGGATTTCAGTTCTAGAGAGCAAGAGAACCAATTGCTAGCAAAACAGCCCTTTCCTCTGTGTCCTGAAAATCAATTTTCAGGCCTCATTGAGGGCTACCAGGAAAAACATGTAAGTTCTGAGCGTCCAAATGTTGTAAAGGATGGCTGAAGGCAGTTTTTGGTCTTTAGGGCAAAGAAAACAGAGAGCAATACTTCTAGACATGTTTACATAAGCTAGTTACGAAGATTCATTTTTGGTTTGAGTGGGGAAGAACCAGCTATTTCTGTTTGCCCAGACCCTACATATTGAGAGAGTCCTAGGTTAATAGTAAAATGTCTTGATTTCAAACTTATACACACTATCTCGCCACCATTTTCCACAGTCATTTATACTGTTACCTTTGATCAAATTTGTCTAATTGCAGAAATGTGAATTGTGTCCATATAAAGAAGGTGCTCTTAAAAGAACAGATACTGGAGGTAAATTTGTAGTCCACTTAGTAACTTTTAACCCTTTACACTCTAATATCACTATGCATATTCTCTATACTGTTCATCACACATTTCTTAAGGTGCTGAGGAGGAGAATTTGTTTCACAATCAAGAACTTCTTTAGTTTGTGATCATTTCTTTTATTCTTGTGACCTTTATGTTTAATTCAAGGGAGATATCGCAAGGAGAAAATAGATGTTGGTCACTCTTAGAGGTGAAAGGGTTAAAATAAAAACGATATAAAATAGGTCATTTGTTCTAAAAGATGTGTTTGTCATCCATTGGATTTCTAGATTTAAGAGCATTCAATTGTTTGTCTCACAAGTAAGAGTTATTGTCAATGATATTATGTAATTTAACATTTTGACACCTGTGCTTTGAGTCTTCATCACGTGAAGAGATCATACTGTTACACATTACTACATATAGCATCTGATCATGTGGTGTGAAGATCAAGGTGAGAGAAGTCCTGGGAAAGTCATCTCACTTTAATTTGCTTTTCCTTTCTCCCTTTTTTCACTCGTGCTCTTTCCTACTTTTAGCTCATAGTAGTGAGTGACATTTGAAGAGCCAAAGCCAAAGTTGGAATTTCAGTCATTACACACAACATTGGTCTTTTTTAGAACTGTTTCATTCTCTCACCTACAGTTCCACTCATGTATATGTTAACTGCACAGAAGCTTTTCATGCGCTCAGAAGCAGGATAGTCAGACACACAAATATGCTTTTTTAAGTGCTCAGTCGCAAAAATCATCAATGTGGATGAATTGAATTTTTTAAATCCAAGTTTTATTTTGTAGGCTGGGCTCATGTTGTCTGCGCTCTCTACATTCCTGAAGTGAGATTTGGAAATGTTTCCACCATGGAACCAATCATTTTGGCATCTGTTCCTCATGATCGCTTCTGCAAGGTAATGGATTTGTTGCCCTTTTTGCTCATTGTAGTGTTGCTTCACATTCTCCACCAGCAGTTTTAATAAGCTGTTAGGCAGACGAGTCTTGAAAATTGAACTGATTGTCAGCTGGGAGATATACATGTACAATGTGGTTTTGATCTATGTGTAAGAATAGCAGTCAGAGAGATTGTAAATTCACTTCTAAGGAAAGGAAAGGCTTTGGCTCAACCTGCCTTTTGTTAAAAAAAAAACCACATTTACCAACTCAGGGCACTTTCTCTCATACTTGTGTTTCCTATAAATTTTGGTCAGCAGGGAACTCATCACCCATTTCTAACCATTCTATAGCAAAACTAAAAGGAAAGTGAACCTCTGATAATTAAAAATGTTCATCATGTAAAACATTGTATCTGCCCTTTTCATTCTTTGGCATGCATGTGCACAAGTTTGGCAGTAAAGAAAAAAAAAACATAGCTTGGCCTTCTTTGACAATGCTTCAGATACCTGTTAAATTTGACTCAGTGTTATCATAGATGCTGATACCAGTATTGTGTATTTACGAATAACTACTGTAATCTGCATTTCTCATCAGACATGTTACATTTGTGAAGAGAGAGGAAGAGAAAGTAAGACAGCTCATGGAGCTTGTATGAGCTGTAACAGGACAGGATGCAGACACGCTTTTCATGTCACTTGGTAAACCATTTAGTTTCACACAATTTATGGTAGAGTTTTGAGGGCAATTTCTTATTTGCGGTGGTTTTGCTGCTCTTTGTCTAATGATTAGTTTAGAAACCTTGCACCACCCTCTGAACCCTTTTATACCCAGAGGTGATTGATATGTAACTTCTCCTCATAATATCCAGGGCTCGAACTTAACTTTTTTGTCTACTAGCAAAGTTTTGCTAGTAAGATTTTTTTTACTAGCAAAAGAAGGAACCTAACTAGCAAATTTTCAATGCTGCCATTTTCAGCGTTAATTTTTTAATTGAAATTCTACTGGAAAAATACTGGTACTCGCAAATGTTTGCTAGAGGATATTTTTTAGACTCGCAACTTCGAAAAACCACTCGCATTTCGTGAGTTTGCGAGTGCTAATTTCGAGCCCTGATATCCATATATCATTCAGGAAACAGGTCATGAGAATACTCAAACTTATCAAGTAGAAGTTGTTATCTTGATTTAACACCAAATTCTAGTAATTAAGGTACTAGAGGAGGAAGATGTAGCAGCCAGAGGGGAGAATTAACAATCAGATCTCAGGGGTTAAAGGGTTAATGGAATCAAGAGCTAACCTGACTCTTTTGATTTTAATTGAATAATTTCATGTTTTTGGTTGTATTTCAGTGCACAGAGTTCTGGATTGCTGTGCGAGGAAAATGATGGCCAGTCAGGCCCTACAGTCAAGTATGTTGGTTACTGCCAGTTCCACTGGAACAAAAGGGTAATGCAGGAGTTTTGTTTGATCAAGTTTGTTTGTTTGTTTTCGAGCAGAAGGGGGGTGGGTGGGTGGATCAGACATTGGAGGTTGGGGAAGCTAATAACTGCATTAAAGTGAAGTGGGTAGCCATGAAAACCTTGTGAACCTTGCCACATTTGTCTCACTGCTTACCAGTGGAAGAATACACAACTAACCCAATATTTGTCATAGGGCAGGGAGGAGGAGGGAATAGCAACCCAAAATACATTGGTTCTGGTAAGCTGTCGAGAAAGCCTGACAAATCCTGGGGAATCAGACTAGTTTAATTTGTGTATTTCTTTAAGAAGGATTAGGGTATTTTTTACAAGAAAGAGAAGTTTGTAAAAACAAGAAAAGTACAAATCAACATCGACCTGACGTTGGTTTTCAACTACAGTAGATAATGTAACATTTATTTTTACTCACATGTAGTGTCTCATTTTTTAACAGGCTAAAGGTGTTCTGTTCAACAGTAAACCTGCAGAAAAAACGATCAAGATTCAAGAAAAGGACAAAGATATCAAGGAAAAAGATACAAAGAGCAAAGACAATAAGGACAGAGAGAGCATGGAAAAACCAAAGATTGACAAAGAAAAAGAAAAAGAAAAAGAAAAGAAAACTCCAAAACCAAGGTTGTCCACTGGTCCCACTGCTACATCTACTGAACAATCACCAAAGCCTGACAGCAATGCCACCAGGGGGGTGGCAATGCCGTCAAGTCAGCCTTCCACTCCTAAACAAAGAGGAAGAAAACCGTCTACTGTTAAGACACCTACAGAGTCACCCAGTAATTCTAAGACAACCATAGAGACACAGAAACCACTAAACAGTATAACTGCCAATAGTCCTATCCAGTTGCCAGTGCCTGGAGTTGTACCACTGCCGACTCTGCCTGTTCAGAGTGGTACCTCCAGCATTGCAGTGGCTGCCACTAAGGACCCTATCCTAAGACCGGTGGGAGTTCTTGGCCCAGAGATGCTGCCCAAATCTGTATCTTCTCAGTTGCAGGACATTCCACAACCTTCTACCAGTGTACTAGTACCTGAGATAGCAAAACAAATGGACACAGATATACCAAAAGAAGCAATTGTGCCTAAACAAACAATCAAACAGACTGTGGTGGGTAATACTCCGGCTAAGAAACGGGCTGCACCCAAGAGTGGAGATGAACCCAAGAGAAAAGTTGGTAGGCCTCCCTTAAAGAAAAAACCGAACACGTCCTCAGTAAGTCGCAAAAATGGAACGCCAGTTTCTTCCTCGAATACAGTGACATCGCCTTTAAATACAGCATTTCCATCAACGTTTCCTCAGGACAACCTCGGGGCGTCAGCATCTGCTCCATCGTTGCCAACCTTTTCTAATCAGAATGTGCTTCCGAGCAACACCCAGGGAGCAAGTGTACGTCAGAATGGTCCAAGGATTCCAAGTCCGAACACATACACGATCCCACAACCACGAAACAGAGGACTTCTGGAGAACGGCCATGTACAACGGCCACCAAACAATAATGTGAATCAAGGACCTTTGTAAGTGGCCACTTCAATTTCTGTTTTTCGTAGCAGGTCTTAGTTTCATTATTTAGTCATGTGGGGGGTTGGAAAATTTTTCTATTAGAGGTCAATTTTCGATAGACCCCCCCCCCCTCAAACTGACTGAGACCCCTCCTCCGTTCCCTTGTGCCCCTTCCCCCTTAAAAAAATATATTTTTCTAACACACAACCCACAACCCACAACCCACAACCCACAACCCACAACCCACAACCCACAACCCACAACCCACAACCCACAACCCACAACCCACAACCCACAACCCACAACCCACAACCCACAACCCACAACCCACAACCCACAACCCACAACCCACAACCCACAACCCACAACCCCACCCCACCCCACCCCCCGGACGTTGATTGATAAGTGGTGCTGTAGCACTAGGGTATGGGTGTCTTTCAACGGGTGTCCATTTTTTTAACACAGACAACTCCCAACAAGCTTAGAAGAACTTCTGGAATATCAGTGGGAACAGGGAGCCCAGTTTCTCATGCAGCAAGCGTCACAGTATGATGGTAAGTGTATGAAGCGATATCTAACGGAGAACGCAACGAGTGAGACATGCGCCTCTCGCGCGTGTGTCGTCTTTCGCGTTCGCCTCGTGCGTCCCTCCTCTTGCTTAAAGGATGCAGACAAATGAAGTTTGTCCCACAGGCTGAAGGAATTATTACCACAAAATGAAACACTCAACCTCTAACCCTAAGGGTGACTGGCTTCTAATTTCTCTTTGCATTATTACCTTTGAATCGAATGATCACCGATTTTAGAAGCTCCTGATAGTCAATCAATTTTTTTTTGCTAGTATCGTTGTTAAGACAACAGAGTGGGTAATATGAAGACCAATGGTAAGGCGTAGAAGAGTTCATTCTCAGAGATAGACAACATAAGAAGTATGATCATGTTGGATAAATTATGCCTTAGATCTTGGTATAGAGTCGAGCCTTGATCAGTTTCCGCATGGTTTTTATTCCTGTTTGTTTCTTTGTTTGCTTTCAACGGCTATGACAACAATCGTCCATGGAATACCCTTCGACAGGAACTTTTGAATCGAGAGATTCAAACAGTAGTTTTCTCTTTTAAACACTCCACTATTTTTTTTTCTTCTCTCTGCTTCATAGTTGCGTCTCTGATGTCCAGCCTGCATCAGCTTAAAGCCGACAATTCACGTCTCGAAGAACGTCTGTCGACCCTGACAAGCCGGAAAAACCAGTTATTACAAGTTAATGCCCGGCTGGCCACTCCCATGTCTTGTACAAACACAAGCTCTTCGGTCACGCCATCTAACGCGAAGCAACCTGCTGTGAGTGGTTCTGGCGTGACAACTGTAACGCAAGGTGCCTTGTCCACTGATACCAAAACCACGCCGAGCAATTATGGTCCGCGAGGGTCCGTAAGTGCTGGCTCAGATGGGGCACCCAAAATGGATGTCTCTCCTGGCACTAAGGATGGTAAGGTCCCTCTGAGTTCTAGTGTTAAACCAGTGAATGGCAGCGTTGGAGAGAAGGAAATACCCAAAATATCAAATGGGGATTTGAAAGGTGGAAAGAACAAAGAACAGCAAAAGAAAGGTCCAGAGACAAATTTGAACACTGCGCTAAGTACGTCTTCGTCCTCGCCGTCCTTTCAGAAGCAGCCGGTGAAGGCAAGCAGTTTGCTTGTCCCGACGGCGGTAAAAACAGCACTGCCTCCTCAAACACTTTTAGCTCAGCAGGAAAAAGAAAAGCAGCAGAAACAAGCGCAGGTGAATTTGATGTCACAGGTTATTGCACCTGTTCATCCTACCTCAAAAACAACACAACAGGTACAACAACAACAGCAACAGCAGTTGCAGTCGCGTTTTCAACCTCAGCAAAAAATTATTCTTCCTCAGCCATTATCTACGAGTCAGGCGTTTGCAGCGCCATCGTTTCCTCAGACACAGCAGACAGCCAACCAAAAAGTGCTCTTGCAACTGATCCAACAGGGAGATGATATGCATCGCTTGTCGAGCCAGAATGCCGCCTTCAGCCACGATAAAACACAGCTGGTATCACAGCAGGTTCAGGCCCAGAAGCTGTTACCAGGCACAGTACCTGCTCAGCAGTTCGCGACTCAGTCGCTCTCGCTTCCCGGCTACCCAGGGTTTTTGACATTCAGTGATCCAAGGACCGGGGCTCGTGTGGATATGATGAAGACCACGCATTTGGCCCCTCTTCCGATGGTCTCGTTGGACAACAATCAGACAGGCCCTAAGGAGCGTTCTCAGGTACGTAGGTGACTAATCTTTCTCGTTCGACTGACTTCTGGTGAAATTGAGCACTAAATGTTACAACCTTGATACTAAACCCTTTTTCATCTGTTTTGTGAGGGGCCCCCCCTCCCTAAAATGTGGTAAGAACACCAGTGACACACTCGCTTGTAGCTCGCTAGTCCTATTTGTTACTCGCCACGTTTTGAAGTTTTTTGCGATCTATCACTTAACAAGTGCAATGCCCGAGTACAAGATTGAATCCAATCTCTACCTTTTCATATGTCGCCTGCTTTTAAGCCCGTACCATACTTATACGACAGCCATAAGTCTTGATCGTTGGTACTGCTTCCGGTTCACTTTCAGTATTTCGACATGGACAAAGGTTCCAACGCTGACAAGACTTCCAGAAACGGATAACGTCATGATTACCTGATCTCCCTGGTAGGTTAGCAGGCGCATCAACACCTGACTGAAGAGAAGACCGTCTTTCTCAAGGACAGCGGAAATCGAATTTAGATCGTTAAGTTAAATTGTGTATCTACATGCGTGGAAAGTGAGTCACTCAAGTGGGCCGCGCTTCCACATCTCCTGCCTATATCAAGGCTTGACACGCTGTTCAAGGCTGCTTTGGCGTATCAAGAACTTCAGTAATGTTCGAAAATATCAGACAGAAATGGAAACGAATTTTTATGGAGCCAAAACTGGGAGGACAGCGAGTGGTTACTGGGCCAGCCACCCGTTACTAGCAATTGTGGGTGATCAAATGAAGAGACCGACTACCCATTAAGGCTTTGTTCTATAGTCAATCCTCTAAGTTTCTCCTGGAGTCAAGGCATCTGGTCTAAAAATAATTTCACGTACTCCTTTTCCCTTTCCCGATTTTAGCCTTATTGTTCCATTAGACGCCGCAGGGCGTTCATGAAAGCAATATCCTCAGTACGGTCCGCCTCTAGGTGTCTCAACGAGATCGTGCATCAGAGAGAGAACCTTTTTAAAATAATTATACCTCCATTGTAGCGAATGCAGTGGCACGTTTTGCAAATCGTTTGTATAAAGTTTTTACGTAGCTTTTAGACTTTGAACTGCATATGGCTTGCAGCCTTACTCTCGATTTGTTTTATTTTCATTATTATTTATATTAATATGTGAGAGTGCTCTTTTAGTTAGCTGCTAGCGCATACTTTCCCTTCCTTTCTCTCAAGGGTGGGTCATTGTTAGCAACTAAAATTGTCCAGAGATGGAGATAAAGACGAAACGCAGTGTAATCTTAGAAGCAGTGCTCGTTTAAAGTTGTTTAAAGAGATGCGCGTTTTTTGTTTTGGATGCGCTTGATTATTTAACACATAATTATTCCAAAAACGTAGATGTTGCAAAATTCGTAAATTGCCATTGATTGGCTTGGAAAGTTTTGATTCGTTAGCGGCTTTCTGTGGTGCAGAGACGGATTTCAGAGAGTTATATTATGCGACGAGGTGTACATTTGCTTAATGTGTAAAGCTGATGATAAATATTTCATCGTGACTCTTCTTGTAGTTCGTGTTTTTTGTTATCTAGACATCTTGGTCCGCTTAAACTTGACTTGTGAGACTGTGTTTACAACAAAAACGATCACATATGCAAAATAGCTTTACGAATGTCATCGTGGTTCTCGATGATTTAACCGTCCGAATCTGCCGAAACCTAGTTTCCTGTTAAACAGATGTTGCTTTGGTTTTAAGAATTATGGAAAATATGTCTGTTTTGGGGACAATTCTTAGGGTGTACCTATCCTCTGAACCCTGTGCAGGGCTCGATTTTTGACCATGGTGTTGGCGGTGCAGCGCGAACGCACCTGGATGTCTCCTGCTTGTTCGTGCCGGTCCTGCCGTGCAGAAAACCTTGATCCTGCTTCAAGCATGTAAATAAATCAAGCAGGCTATTCTGCGGGTTTCAAGGAGCGTATTGACCCCAAAGTCTGGTTTCCTTGATTGGGTAATCTCCAATTAAGTTTCGAAATTTATCTAAGACAACACTGTTTTTCCTTTACTTTGCACTGCAATATGATTGGTCCAGAAAACTCGCGCCGCCTTCTCAACCAATAAGACGCAAAACTAAAACCATAATCACGACTAGGTCGCTCGCGCTTCAGGCGGTTTCCTTTTTTTACTCCGAGTTGTCATTTGCTCCTCGTGATATTTGCCTTGCTCTAATTGGCTGTTGTGGCCGCTTTAGTTTTGGTCTCACGACTCTCGAAAATCGAAAAGCGCTTTATTTTGTTGGTTAATTTGCAATGTAAGTGGTCTTCCATCTGAATAATAGATTTACACAACAAATACGCAAATCAGTCAACGAATCAAAAACACAAGAAGGTGATGCCATCATCAGCTTTAACTTTTATTGTTTCGTCTAAATATAAAATATATGCAACCATTTTGCAAATTTCATTCATGAACAGTAAGAAACAAGTAATAATATCGCCAAGAAATGTAAGAAACCCAAGGAAGTCTGTGCCATTTTCATTGTTCAATGTTTATATTTATGTCAAATTAAGCCACTGCAAATGTCTTAATTATTTCCGGAATTTGCGAACCTTTGTAGATTTCGTTCCACCCCTGAACCTTGCGAATAAGTTTGACAAAGTTGATTTTTTGTTTTTCTCATTTTCCTCTTCTTCCCAAGCATTTTTGTCCTTTAAATTCAAGGCAACTTGATTAGTAACGCAGACAAGACTTGAACTTGTTTGAATGTCCTCATCATTGTAGAGCAGATTTCCAGTTATTTCATCTGTATTGATTACATTAAAATTGTTTGACAGAGTGGGTGGTGATGGACCTTCGTCTGACTGCAGCGTTCTTACAATTTCCTCTGGAAGAACCAACGCGATATCGCAGTCAGTGTCCTCCTCATTTACTTCATATTCTTCAGCTGGCACCACCTTGTTCCTTTTAAGTCTCCCTCTTTTCTTCTTCCGGTGTCTCACGACTTCTTTGGCGGAGTTTCTGTCAAGTAATTCTCCGCTGCTGGTCCCGGCTTCCGGTACAATGGGATAAAACACACCTTCATCTACTCTCTCAATTTTCTTCACTCTCGTCTTTCGAACAAATCGGAATCTGACCCTACCGCTCTCGTTTCGTTTTAAACCAAAGCTGATCAAAAACATGAAAAAGAACACCATGGAAGATATCCCGCGAGATACGTGAGACATTTTTGCATGTAAATTTTTCCTTTTTCACAATGCACACTGATTGCGTCAAATGCTTATGTCACAATACAACTCAAATAAGAACAGCGCGCGCACAGTTCTCAAGTCAACATGAAAATTCTCTCTACTTACCATTTTATACTTCGTAGCAACACTTTTTGGGAGAATTCCACCAAGAAAGATACGACGTATTAGAATCACGTTAAAGCTGCCTTTTGCTGCCGACATATTACTTTCGACTAAGATTAAAGGAAACTACAAAAATTACTTTGGGAACTGGTTCGGTGGGAAAGAAATCAAAACAAGAAAGGCATTACGAACTAAGGAGGAACAAGATCAAGGCTGTACCAAAATTTTTGTCCACTCATCGTCTGAGTTTGTAATTAAGCGTAAGCGTCCATGAAACAAAACATGAAAAGGAAGGGAATTTAACAATGATATCAAGTCTAACCGGTCACTCTTACTTTTTCAATTTGTTTCCACACAGTTTTGTTTCATTTACTTTGTTTCTTCAAGTTTACTAAGGCAAGACCCCACAGAACGTTAAATCTTATAAACTGTTTTTCTCTAAGATTTTTTTCATCGAATTCAAGCCAGTTGAATTAGAGAAAAGTTGATCAGTCAGAAAGATCTACCCAAGCTTGAGATACAATCGGGTTATTTATGACAGAGAAGAAACTGGGCAATGACGCGACAAATGCGTGAGATCTGGGGTCTATTGTTGCATAGCAACGTTAGCAACGACCCCGCCATCTTTCAATAATATTGTGAGACTAGGAGATTTCTCAAGCTTGGAAAGTTAGATCAGTGGTAATATGGCAACAATAACAGCAAGACGAAATCAAGACAAGATCGCCGAGAATCTGGAGCGCGAGACTCACTGTTAGTATTGCAATTATTCTTACATTGCACGCATTTCTGTAGTGTATCCAGTTGACTTGTACTTCTCGCACCATGTTTGAAATTAGCTGCTGCCCTCTTCTCCACTGCACTGAAAAGTCCCATGTAATCTAATCAGGCTGTTGAAAATGCTTTCAAAACTCATTTTGCTCTCAGTTTTGAATTTTGCATCAATTTATCGAAAATTAAATATCCTTACTTTGTTGAGTTTCTGATTGTACGCAACTTAGCGATGAAGTGTTCGAATTCGAAAACCGATGAAGTGTTAGAATTCGAAAACCGAATCGAGCACCATTTACATGTCATTGAATAAGAATAGCGTCTATTGTGTTATGCCTCGATCTTCAAAGCCTCCCGACACATCATTCTGAAGTACGCCAGCTTTCCATCATTTAGAGTCAAACGGAAGTAATGATGATGATATCAAATATTTTATTAGGTTAATTTTGATATTATGGGAAATTGACGTCAAGGAATCCCCAGATTCTGTGGTAATGCCCGATACTGAGGCCACATAGGTGTAGCTAGAGACCATCAGAATGCTATAACCAGGCTATGAACACGAGAGGTGGAACTAAATTGATTATTGTTGCTGAATTATAGCTTAAACAGAGCCCTTTCCCCATCCAGTTCTATCTCTGATTATCTTCCCTCGCCCTCTTTTGTTTGATGTAACCAGTATGATGACAGGTGCTTAATAGTGACACCACATGCAGCAATCCAGTGATCCTTAATGGATTTGGCTGTATTGTCAATCAACATCACACCTGGGAAAGGAGACCAATCAGTGTTCATTTGGGAACATGGTGCAAAATAGAAATTACATGAAGTGAGATCTAGAATGCACAATGCTTTAAAATCATTATGATTATTTATATGTTGATGTCAAACAATTTAACTCATAATTCACATTTTGTTGAATTAGTGTATTTCATGGTGATATTGTAACAGAATGGATTTTTGATGATTTTATTCTTAAAATTTTGCTCCAACTGGGTTTCAGTTTCTGGAGAGGAGGTCAAGAGCTTGTTAGGAATGTTTGAAAATAATGCAAAGAATGGGAAAATGGACAGGACAACATTTAGAGACATATTGTATAACGATTTTGGACTGACAGAGGATATCATTATGGATAGAGGTGAGCTTTTTCTTAATTATGATGATGATGATTAATTTTCTTTCTTCAATGAAGTGAGACATAATATTAGTAGTGATAAATTCAAGGCTTTCATTCAAGGTCATTGAAAAAAAGTTACCAAATCTCTATTATCCATGTACACCTTTAACTGATCAAGACAGAATTTCTCCCTATGCTATCAATACAATATTTAGTAGAAAAGTGATGAGAATAATGAGATTAATATCAATTAAAGGATAATAATTAGTTGATCCAATACCAAGGAGAATTTCTAAGGTCAGATTTTAGGAGTAAAAAGAGTAACCTCCCTTTAATGAGTATATGGCATTTGCAGATAATTTCACTATTATCATGGTTAATGGTAATCTTTTGTAAAGTCAACTTATGGGCCAGAGGGCCAACTGCAAAAGTTCATAGCCCTCTCTGAAGACTGAAGCAATTGGGAATACCACTACTCC